AAAGTCCAGTAGGTCACCAAATACCTACAACTGAAATCAAAGGACGGTACGAAAGCAATATGCATATTAATCAGTCAAAACAATATCAGTCACTTACACATGATCATTGAGTCAATGCAGAAATAGGAATTAGTACATAAACAGAAATCAATACAGAAACGGTAATCAATACAAAAACGTGTAGAGCCATAATTATCAGTAGAAGAATCAATAAACAGTATAAAAGTTCGTAAAGCTCAATGAATCAATACGTGCGTCAAATCTCTACAGTAGTAGTCGTATCAATAACACCAGTCAATTTAGTAGACAAATCTTCATATCTAAAATCTTAGTTAAATCGTTAAAGAAATCTTCGTATCGGTAATATCAATCAAATTAGTCAATAGTATCAATCGTATAAAGAGAATTCATCGGTTCAATAATATCAGTCGGTATAAAATATCAAATCAATACTATCGTTCATGACTGTTGAAATCAAATCAATGAAATAAAATCATAACATCGTTTGAAACAGTTGGAATCAATCAATGCCGTAGAATCATATCAAGATGTACACTTGTAATTCAGTTATCCAATATCACGTGCTCAGTGAATCACATGCAATCCAATAATCTATATCATGTGTTTAGTGAATCACATGTCACTTACACAGTATATCACGTGCATAATGTCAGTACAGTGAATCAGTAGTATCAGTGCCTGTATCAGTATCAGTAACAATCCAGTGACATGAACAGTAATGCTATTAACAGTAAAATCATGCATTAACAGTAAATCCGTACAGTAACGATAAATCCGTACAATAACGATAAATCCGTACAATAACGATAAAAACAATGATTAAAAACTTGTATTTCAGTAATCAGTAATCATACTCACAACATACTCAACAAGTAAAAGCCCTGGCTATTACGGTGTTTTTCAGTCTTGTATCAGTATCAGTATCTTATATCTTGTATCGGTTGGCTCAGTAAAAAGAGTCGTCACTCTTTGCCCATCGGCACAGTAATCACCTTCTTATAACTCCCATAAGTAATCACGTGATCAGTAGAGGATAACACCAAACCGTATTTAGAGGAAAGCCTGTCGGCCCACCATCCTGTACAGGTCAATCTTCAACCAACGGTTCAACTAGTCTTTACTTATCTTTCAGTAATATAACCGTAGTTCAATCATATATCCACAATCATATACATCTCATTAATACATTGCAATCAACAAATACAATTAACTCAATTGAAGAAAATCGTTAAAATATTGTGCAGTCGACAGAAATCCCAAACAATATCAAAATACACAGTTTCAGAAAATTACTAGAAATCGAATAAAACATCATTTTAAAACTTTACTTGTACTGAAACAATATTTTTCAACATCTGGATAATTTTCTATTAGATAAAAACACTTCAGAATTCAGGATACCCGGTGAAAATTTTTCAGAAAATACTCAAATTGTGCAAAATCATCATTTCAATAACATACCAAAAGTTACGCAGTAAAAGTTTCATCAATACAAAGATATGCAAGAATTTCGATAACAGAAACATAATACTGAGAAAAAAAAAATACGAAATCTTCGAAATCAGAAATAGGATTCGGATTTCTTACAGTGAAACAAACAATTCTTCCAACAGCGGCGTCGGACGAAAATCGCACCGTGGCCTCCAAAACCAAGCTTCTTCTTTTTCTTTCCTTCTATTTCTCTCTCCTGCTTTTCTCTCTCTTCAAAAGATCTTTATGTTCGTCCAGACGATGTTTCCCATTCGTCCCGGGACAAAACTCTCTTGACACATATCGTACAGACGATGATAGATTTCATCCCTGGACGATGCTATCGGGCAAAAATTTATCTCGGACGAACTCAGGTTCGTACAGGCAGTTCGTCCGTACTAACCATACAGATTTTCACAATTTTCTTCAGTTCGTCCCGTACTAAGGTCAGTTCGTACAGACTAACTGCACTAAAAAAATGAAATTCTGAGGGGTTTTATAGCGGTATTGTTAGGCCGGTTTTCACTGAACCGGTTCAGATGGCCCAAGGGGGGCACCTTCAATTAGGGAAGGATAGAGGGGTGGCTAGGTTTGGGAGGGAAATTTGAAATTACCGAATTTATTTACAGTGATAATTTTTTTTTCTTTTATTAAATGTTCTGAAAGATAATGCATGCTTATGAAATCTTTATTGTTAATTAGATTATGATTTATATTTCTCATAACCAATGATTGATCATGTTGAGTTAAATAAAAGTTTATGTTATATTTCACATTATCATCTAATGTTCATGAATGTTAGAAGAATGAAATGACTAGATAGATATGGTTGCACGTGAATGTTGACTGATGGAGCACACCCCATTATAGTACTGGCTGGGGACGCAATGTACCCGTGCATGTAAATAGAAAATGTTATAAAAAAGGAAAAGGAAATGAAAAAAATGAGTACTTTTCATTGTTACATGGTAGCTTCTGTGACGGTTGTATAATTTATAAGAAATAATAAAGATATAGATAAAAGTATTGTTTATGCATAATATTAAAGTCATGAAATGAAATGAATCTAAATGAAATTATTTTATGATATGAATTGAAATGCTCATGCATATTGTTTCAATTACATTGGATTACTATAATTTAGAACCATGTTTTACTCACTGAGTTGTAGCTTACTTTTAGTTGCTCTAATATTTTCAGGTATAATTTAATATAATAAAAAATTAAAAAATGAGTAGAAGAGGTGAAAATGTGTACTGTAGACGTGATACACCGAATAAAATGTATTTAATTCATTTCATATCAGTTTATTTTTTTTTTTTTTAAGTTTTAGTTGCTCTTTTAGTGTATTGGAGATAAATTTAACAAATGAAAATTTAATTTGCCGTCCGACTGTCTGTTCTTGTCTCGTTAATTTGAGCCTCTAGGCTGAGTTATGTAGTATTTTTGTTCTTTAGGATAATATATTATTTTTTATACCATGCTTGATCACAAAATATGCAATTCGTTGAGGTTGACAAAATTTCTCCAACACATGCATGTTCGAATCTTGTTCTAACCATGTTAGAACATTGATAAGTTATGTTCAAATCTTATTTCAACCTTGTTTGAATATTGCTCGGACCTTATTTCAGCCATGTTCTAACTTTATTCTGACCATGTTCGAACCTTGTTAAACCTTGATCTAATCTTATTTAAACCTTGCTTAAAAAGGTGTAAATAAGATTAAGACATTTTCACAATAGATAATGTAATACCTAATGCCACTATGGTTTTAGGTTTAAGAGTGCAAAATTCAAGTAATAACTTGGGTCTATTATTCAGAGTGATGATGAAATAGATGAGGTTATTATTAGTAGAATTCAAGTTGGCTGGATGAAGTGGAGGAATGCATCGGACTTGTTGTGTGATAGTAAAGTACCACTCAAACTTAAGGGAAAATTGTATAAGATGGTGGTTAGATCTGCAATGCTTTATAGTGCAGAATGTTGGCCATTAAAAGAGAAGCATAATATTAAGTTAAGTGTTGTAGAGATGAGGCTGCTCAGGTGGATGAGTGGCTTTACTCTTAGAGATAGGATACGAAATGAGCATATACATGAAAAGGTTGGAGTAGTTTTAGTGAAATATAAGATTAGAGAGAGTCTCCTTAGATGATTTGGTCTTATAAAACGACGGTCTTTCGATGACTCGGTTAGGAGAGTAGATGTATTAGATTTAACCTATGTTAAGATAGGTAGATGTAGACCTAAAAAGACTTGGTTGGAAAATTAGTAGAATGACCTTTATTTATTAGATCTAAATGATAGTTTGACTCTTAATTGGACACAATGGAGAAAAATGATTCATGTAGCTGACCCCACGTAGTGGGATAAAGGCTTGATGTTGTTGTTGTCGTTGTGCGAAATTCAAATATAAATAACCAGACATAAAATCACTAACTTCGAATAGTAGCTGGAGAAGTAGATAGAAATTTTGCAGCGAATTTTTACACATGCTCTGAGATTGTCGGAGATCAGTAAGGTGTTGGGAAGAGGAAAGGTCTAGCCTCTTCTTGTTTGAAAGCTTGTGCGATTTCTTGTGTGACGGTTTTGAGTTCATTTCTATGAAATGGGGATATTTCATTTGACTTGAACTTCAAGGCATATTTTTTGATTTTTTCATAAAAATAAATATCGGGCATAATTTTTCAATTATGAGGCATATGAAGTCAAATTTCCCATTATAAACAATCCCTAAGGCAAAATCTAGATAATCTTTATGAAAATAAATGTGAAATATAAAAATGATTAATTACTAAAAAATTTAAAGTTCTAATACTTGAATAAAATCCTATATTTAGATCATCATCAATTGGATGGAAGATTGTGTCATAAGATTTTAGAGTGTTTTGGATTTGGGGATGTACTTTTTCTAATGCACCATTTTGATTGTATTTTTTGTGACTTATTGTTAGTTGATCAAATTTGCTATCATTTTCTCTCAACTTTAGTGCAAGGGCAACCTCTGGAACCCGGCTGTCTTCTCTATTGTTGATATCTATAGTTTCTTCGTTGTACATTTTATCGGACCTGACTTTTATGGGATTTTAAGGGTGCATTTGCATTGATGACTTTTATTGTAGCGCTTTCCTACAGCTATTCTTCTCTGATTGTGTGGCATTGAAGTGCATCTTCAGCAATCTGCAAGCAGAAATTGAAACATAATTGTTATGGTATTATATATATATATATATACACACACACATGTATCCGTCTTCATTAGATGGCGCAAATACAGTATTGACCATTTGTTAAATTTTTAGCGCCGCCTGAATTCGCAGTCATCAGAAACATTCGCTGGATTGATGAAAATTTTAAATTCGTCATCTTGTTTTTAGAAGTAGATAACTTATTGCACTGTAATGGTCATTATTTGATGGAGAAGCTCATGCTGGTTTTGTAATGCATGCCTTCGGAGAGTAGTTTTCTTTTATTCTTAGTCTTGCAGTTTTTCGATATTCTTTCCAGGGGATGAGAATTGTTCAAAGTCCGGATGAATTTGTTGATTCTTTTTTGAGTGCACAACGTGAGGCTGCTGCTTCTTTTGGAATAAGTACAATTTTAATCGAGAAGTACATCACTCAACCCAGGCATGTAGAAGTTCAGGTAACATTGTTTGAACTCTTAAATTTCTTCAGTGCTTAGTCGTACACCAACTTAGATGCAATCTCATTGTGATATGCCGTACAGAATTCATGTCCTTATGCTATTACGATCCCTTAGATTCTTTTCCCCGCAGGGAAACATATCAAAATTAATTCACAATAATCAATCAATAATTCAATTTTGCCCCATGAGTTTATTTGTAGTGAGAGGGCTTTAGGGACACAAGCGACACATTTGAAAGAAAATAATTGTATTTAAAATATTGCATAAAAGTTTAATATTTTCAAAATATAAAATGATTACAATTGAAATAAAATATTTAATTAATTGTACTATTAATGTCAAACATGTGGTTAGCTCAAACAGTCATCAATAATTCCCTTGGGGCGTGAGAACTCATCCAGAAGATCTCCTAACTTAAATAGATGAGGCGGAGGAGGAGACGGATCACAAAGCCATTAGTTTATTTATTCTTATCTTGGTAGTAGTCGAGACAAAGTCCTTTAAATTATAATAGGTCAGAGTCCACACATTATATGTAGGAAAGGTCAAAATCTCTACATAATAAAGTCATTTAGTAATCGTATTTATTTGAAGTAACAATTATTTACATTTCAAATGAAATATGGCAAATCTGTGTAAGAGCATTTTTTAAGTGCCTACAACTTTGGAGTTCTGTGAGGGCAAAGCAAATTGGCAATCTCTACTTCCTTTAGGGTATGCATTAATTTTTTTCCTTAAATGATATACCTAAATATGGCATATAAAACTTAGGCATATGTCAAAATAGCCTATTAGAGTTAAAGGTTTTTTGTTTTGCTTCAAAAGTTTGGGCTTTGGAGTTATATGAGCACTGTGTTATGAGAACGCATAATAAATCGAAGCTCTCTAATGGTGCTCATAGGTTCAGTGGTAATATAGACTATTTATTTTGAATTTTTTATCTTGCCTATGTTTTTTATCAAATGATGAATCTAGAGATATACCCACCTTCACAGATGATTTTTTTAATGAAAGTAGGTGTTTTCATGATTTAGGTGACCTGTTTAAAATGTTTAAGGAGTGGTAGACAAATTATGAAGCAAACTTGTTAGAAAGTCGAGAGGTTGAGAACTAAAAATAGCTTAAATTTCTGTTATGTTGAGTTTTGAGTCATTTTGTTGTAAGGAATGTATTTCAGGCTCAAGCTCCTAGTAAGTATATATTAACAAAATGAAATGGTAGAAAGAATAAACATGACATGCTTTGAGAGGGCTATATGCATGTTATATCAAATGTTAGTTTGAGTAAAGATTGTTGGGTAGAGGTTGTTAGTAGCACATTCCATTTGATGGAAAATCTATGTCTAATGATATTGAGTTGAGGATTATATAGGAGGCACAATCAAGCCATTTTCCTATCTATAACCAATGCAGCCTTCATTATTGCCTTGCTCAACATAGCCTTCATTACTACCCCACACCTTGCACGCTTGATTGATATAGCCTTCATCGCTATCATTGGCCGTTGTCACAATGTTTGAAAGCCAATTCCTCCCAAAGTTTTGACCAAATAGGGGACTATATGGTGTACCAAGGGACTTGTTAGCTCTACATCTGTGCGACTAATTCCAGGCTGGGAATGAAAGATCTATATTCTCCAGCTCGAGGGGGAGTGTCAAAATTTCAGTCATCCCTTGGCACTTGATCCCACGGTTAGGATGAGAATCCATGGGAGACTCACTTGGATCACGTCAATCTCCTTCTATATTTGGGTAGCTGAATTAAGAAGGATTATATTGAGGCAATTATGTATCAATTAGAAGTTATTTGTTTCTTTATTAAGAGATCTTGTATAGATCTATATATAGGGATAATTAAAAAAATAAAATAAAATAAATAAATATGGATAATTTTGTATAATAATGAAAAGCATATTTTTCCGTCTCAAATTCTATGAATTCTAACAAGATACATGATTAGATCATGTAGGTTAAGTCGTTGGAGGGAACAATGGTAGGCCAAGATTACACTTTTTGAACAAAGAATTACATAAATTGAAGTTATCACCACATAGCACGGAACATGAATAAATAAAGCATTCACAAAGCTAAAGAAAAAATTCACAGAACTAGAGAAGAGAAATTCATAAGGCTCACCTTGAATAGCTGAGGTGAGGCTGCTGCTGCTGCTGCTGATGCTGGGACCATTTATTTCCTTGTGAATATGGAGAAAGGGCGTTCTGATAAATTATGCTTTTTTAAATCCTCTAACTTTGATATAAATGACTAGAAACCATATGATTTTCTCAATGCATTTTGTTTTGCGTTTAGATTATTTAGTTCAATCCTGTAGGCTTTATATATCATTTTGGTGTTTTAATCAATTGATATATTTTATTGATATAAATACAAAGGTTTTTGGAGACAAGCATGGAAATGTCATCCATTTATATGAGAGAGACTGCAGCGTGCAAAGAAGGCATCAGAAAATAATTGAAGAAGCACCTGCTGTATGGTTCATATGTCCTCCATACTGCTGTTATTGTTCTTAATATGATTGTAATAGCTATCTGATCTCTATTGTTGCAGCCAAATGTTGTCAATGAGTTCCGTTCTCACCTGGGCGAAGCTGCTGTTGCTGCTGCAAAGGTGAAGTGATGCTTATTCAAATCAATATTTTTATATCATACTTCATTGCAATTGTTTGATAGGAGTTTTTTTTTTTTCTGCTAAGAAGAGAACCTTTCCTTGCACCATGAGGTCTTGTTTTTTGTGGCGCACTATATTTCATTCCCACTATCTTTGTGCTAGTGCAAATGAAGGAGCAAGTTTTGCCACATTTTTATTTCTTTCATTCAGCTGCTTTGATATTCAATTTTTCTTCATTCTTTCTATATTATGCTGATTGAGAATTACTGGCATTTATTCTCCAAGAAGGCAGTTGGCTATTACAATGCTGGAACCGTGGAGTTTATTATGGATACTCTTTCTAGCCAATTTTATTTCATGGAGATGAACACCCGACTTCAAGTACGCTAACTTCTGTTAACTTTAATTGATTTAGTACATCATAAAAGCATGAGCTTGGATATATTTCTGTCACCTTTTTCCTTTTTTATATTTTAAACATGAGTGTTTAGGGCGTTGAAAAATAGTTTACCCGAAACAGTTTCCTGATTGATGACAAAAACTTGAAGGTTGAACATCCTGTAACTGAGATGATTGTCGGGCAAGACCTCGTGGAGTGGCAAATCCTTGTTGCAAATGGTGAAATTCTGCCTTTGACTCAATCAGAGGTGCCCTTAAAAGGTGACATAGTTTAAGATGCAGCATAGGGCATCATGCTATTAATTATGATGACGTTTTTACCATACATTTATTTCTAATCCAACATGTTTTTTTAAGTTTTGAGGAGGCTTGATACTACACAGGATCTTGCACTTCTTGAAACTTGTTTTTACATGGTTGTTTGCAAAGCAAATGCTAGTGTGCTAAATATGTTTTCTTTTTTGGCAAGTGTTAACCACTGCAATCAATAATAACAAAAAAACACGACTTAATTGGTCAGGTATTATAGCTTCAGTTTCATGATAGTATACGAGTGGCCTTATTTTACAGATCACTATCTTATTTTTGTTTGGATATAACTTTTTTAATATTTTTTAAAAATTATTGTGATGAAGAGTTTTTCATAACTAATAAAAAGTTTGTTTTTTTTTTTCTAAAAGGAAAAATTATAATACAATTAAAAAAATATTATTCTTTCCATAACAGTTCTAGTTAGAAAATAGCCTATGTTCATAGGATAAGAGAGAGAATCCAATCTACTATAGAGAAGCAAAATATAAAAATAAAAGTGGCACAATATTCTTCCCTCAAATAAAGTGGTATGTATGTAAATCCCCCTAAAATATTCTTCCCCCCAATCTAAATGCACTTAATCCAAAAAAAAAAAACAAAGTCCTACAAACCGAGCAGAAGGGAGAATCACTCAAGTATTTTATAATTTATATGCATGATATAAGTACATGTGATCACTTTTGTCAGCGAGTGGAGAAATATAAGTACATGTGACCGCTTTTATTAGCGAACAGAAAAATTCGTATGCATGAAATATAAGTACTCGGTGAGAGGAGAAATTCATATGCATGAACTATAAGTATCTGTGAGCACTTTTATTAGCGAGCGAGAAAATTTGTTTACATGATATAAGTACCCGTGACCGCTTTTATTTGCATTGGAGAAAATTTATTATATATAAAAAATTTAATTACCCATGACTGCTTTTCTTAGTAGGTGGAAAAATGCTATATTTTATGAATAGGTACTTAATGACCTGTGCCCACTTTTATTAACGAGAAGGGAATGAAATTTCGGCCACAATATCCCCTGACACCTACCGTGACTGGTTTTATTAGCATACGGGAAGGTTTTATACACCTCAATGCATCCCCCTACATTGGGAATAACTTGGGGTGTTGTTGAAATTTACAACAAAAACTCATGACTTAGAAAAAATCTAAAGAAATTGAAATCTACCCAAACTCCTTCGTTAATAAAATAAAAAAATAAACTACATCCTAGGTTTTAAAAACTAAAACATAAATGAACAAAAAATAAAATGTAATCAAAAGAACTTACAACAAACTTGTAGGAGAACTAGTTGCTCGTCGACCATCGCAAGTAATAACCTGTTTTTTCCTCTCTTAGCTCCTAGCTCATATAAACCCCTTAGCAACATGCCCTATCAATTGAAATTTGTAAAGGAATGAACTAGGGTCGGGTTTTCTATTTATAACTCAGAAAATTGACCCCCCTTGTGGGACCTGCTAAACTAAACTCTAAGCACAAAATGACAATGGGAGGAGTCACGGGTGCACAAGGCCTTAGGTGTCCTGCACGCCAACTGTTTAAGTCAGGATACTCCTACGTCCCGTGAATGTGTCGTACACCACATGAACATTTGTCTTTGAAAAAAAAATAAAATACTACATTGTTCCAAATCACGGGCGGTACGTCTTTCTCATTCAAGTGTGTGAGATGTGTCAAAGCACAAAAAAGAAACGTCTCCTACACATCTCTTGATCGTACATTGCAAATGCTTTCGCTCCATACAAGTGCACTATACGAGCACACTGTTGCATGTATGTATATTGCCAATTATATGGGTGCACTGGATACTATGTATGCATGTCATTAATCATACAAACGCATCATGCAAATGTACCAGCAATCATATAATGATAGCATGCATGCATACCAAACAAACATACAAATGCATCATGCACGTGCACTAAGTAAAATGCAAGTGCCTCATACAAAGTGCACTAAAATACATTTAAGTGTATCACACAGTAAATGCATCACGTATATTTACAAGTACATCACGTGCGCGGACTACACTACATGCAAACTCATCGCATGCATACATTACGCAACATGTAGATGTAGCAGACCTACGCGACACACAACATGCAAATGCTTATGCAAGCATGCTGATATACAAACAAATATATGAATGTGTATACAAATATGTCATACACATCCAATGTGTCATATATATATATATATTGATGAATAAATATATCATGCAAAATGCATTTGAAAAGCACGATACCCGCATGTGCTCCAACAAGTGCATTACGTTCCTAAACTCTTACCTGAGAATGTTGCGTAGGTTAAAAGCGAACTTAGGTTCAAGTCCAATCCTCTTTGAATAAGTCGGAGTTGACATGATTTGAACCACCGAAAATACACTCATATTAGGCCTTCTAGGTTATTACAAGAAATGTTCACTACTAAAAATATAAACTCTTGGGATCGTCGTTTGTTAAATCAATTCGAATTTTATACGTTCATATTAAACCTTTAAGGTCTTTTATAAAGAAAATTCATTCATCAAAATGCATAGTCTCGGTTCCGATGTGTATACGACAACTCTGAAAATTAGGAGCTGAACTCGATTCTCTGTTAGCAATCAAATAGAGTCGACAAGATTCAAATAATAAAATGAAATTATCCAACACCCCTGATGATGACTGTGGTGACAAAAAATTTCAACCGGAGGGGATCCTAAATATTTTAAATGCCTCCCAAACTCATAAAAATACAAACATTTAAAGTGATTTCAAAATATCCTGATAATGGTTGTGTTGAAAGTTAATATCAACCGGAGGGGTTAATTTTTAAATTATAGCAAAAAAATCTGAAACTTCATATCCATTAATATTCAAAATTGAAATAAAATATCTATTCACCATCCACAACAATTTATTGAGGTGGATAAATTTGAAAAATTACTTTAGCTCATAAAGAGCGAATGTTCAATCGAGAATATTACTAGGATTCATTCTCAAATTATCTCTTTACAGTAAGGACATGACACATGTCCTCTAACCCTTGATTTCACCTCCAAATGACACTACGAGTAAACAATTATGACTAGACCTCTTGACCGGGTGGTCTTGTTGCTAAATGGTACCTCTAAATTACGATCACGACCAAAGCCTATATGGTCCCCAGTAGTTTTAAACCCTTGAGTAATGAATTAATAGGGTATAATCAATAGGGAAAAAAGCAATTTGTTAGCTAAAGTGAACTCAAATATATCCTTTTAGACAAACATTCATTCCAAGTCTATAAGGTACCCATGGATGAAGCAATCCATGGCCACCGACAAGGATATTTCGGTTAGGTTGGGTCAACTACCTCCTATCACTAAGTAGACTAGGGATCATGATGGTTGGGGGTGACGGAACCATGAGATCTTGATTGGGTTCATCATCATTCCCCCCCTCTATCCGCTTTAAATGCGTAGTGATAAATTTTTGTTTTTCAATATCTAATTATGTTGTTACTATATGCTGGATATTACGTATCTATTCAACAACTAGCCTTAATCGAATGTTCTCTCTTGTTATTGGGAGGGTTAATTAACTATAGGGGCTTGTGCCTATGGAAATTAGAACTCAGATCATAAAATTCCTCGCAAAATGAGGGCGAAATCTCTGGGTAGTTTCTTATCTAGAACCTAATCTGCCTTTTGAAAACTTACTGCAGGACCTAAACTTGGTAAAACTCTCATCGCCGACACAAAAAGAAAGAGGTTGTGGAGAGGCCGATGTGCGAATTTTTGGAGCCCACAGTGGTCCCCACCCCAAGGGGGGGGGGGGGGGGGGGGGGGGGTGGACAATGCCCTGTGCGAAATCTGGCTTCCGCTTATTGTATACAAAGGCCGATCCCTCTTAGACCGACTGGACCGGTCCCTCCTGTATCGATCTAGCAATCTGTTTCATAAATCTAAAGGTTCGAGAATGTTGCGCGGGTCAAATAATCTAGGTTTCATCATCCTCCTTGTAATGAATGGACTTGACCTGACTTGGGTTAACAAACGAACACCTAATCACAAATCTACTGGGATATTTTATTTAAAATCCACATTAGGCCTTCAAAGACTCTCTAGATGAAACTCATTATAAAACATAAGCTCTCTATTTTAGCGTTCATATAATCATCAATTGTTGAATCTGATCCTCTGTTAATAGGCAAATAGAGTTGACAATGTTCAAATAACTAGTTATTTAAAATTCCGATGATAGCCGTTTACGACAGATTTATCCAATATAATGCATATAAAATAATGAGAGAAGAATGTTCCATATGTTTTGGTTTATTTGCTGTTTTCCTAGTTTGATATTGTGCGTCTTTCGGTTACTTATCCCCTTGTGGCATGTACTAGCTTCTTGAGATTTCTTCTGGCAAAATGATATCTTCAGGTTACTTGCAATTGGTGCAATTCGAGTTCATTTGCGAACCTAGATAACTAATCTCACGATTCTCACATAGATTTTGTGAGAATGTAACTTGATATGTTCTATTTTTTGGCGATAGGGCACGCCTTTGAGGCCAGAGTATATGCAGAAAACGTTTCCAGGGGCTTCCTACCTGCAACTGGTTCACTACATTACTACCATCCAGTGTCCATTTCTCCAACTGGTAATCCGTTTAAGTCGTGGTTTGTGAATTAAGCTATAAACTTATTTATCCAATTGGCTGCATTCTAAATAAATATTGGAACTAGTGCGAGTTGAAACAGGAGTGAAGGAGGGAGACACGGTTAGCATGCATTATGATCCTATGATAGCTAAGCTCGTAGTGTGGGGAGAAAATCGCCAAGCAGCATTAGTCAAACTGAAGGACTGCTTGCTAAACTTTCAGGTTTTGTCTAAACCTTGGCTTTATCATCAAGTGTTGAAAAATAAAATGCTCTTCTTCGTCGGGTTTGGAACTGCATGGTTTTATTCAAGTCATTAAAAATATATATGCAAGAGCTATTACTTGTGTTCAAACAAAAGGTGATTTGAACAAGTATTTTCCTATTTCAATTGGATTACATCAAGAATCAGCTTTAAACCCATATCTTTTTTAGTCATGGATGTTCTTACTAGACATTTGCAAGAGGATGTACCATGGTGTATGCTTTTTGCTAATGATATTCTTCTTGTTGATAAAACATTAAAACTAGAGAGGGAGTTGAAGGCAAACTTGAGTCTAAAGGTTTTTGTTCAAGTAGGTCTAAAACTAAATACATGGAGTATAATTTTAGTAGTAATAGATCTTGTGGGGGGATTGTGACTTTGGACAATTAGGTTATTAATAAGAGTACACGTTTTAGATATCTTGAATCTATTGTTCAAAGTGATGGTGAAATAAATGGATATATTATTAGCATAATTCAAGTTGGATAGTTGAAGTGGAGAAATGCATCAGGCCTGTTGTGTGATAGAAAAGTACTCGTCAATCTTAAGAGAAAATTCTATAAGATGGTGGTGAGACCTGCAATATGCTTTATGGCACAAAATATTGACCATTTAAAGAGAAGCATAATATTAAGTTAAGTATGCTCAGGTGAATGAGTGGCTTCACTCTTAGATATTGAATATGAAACAAGTATATACGTGAAAAAGTTGGAGTAGCTCCAGTGACAGATAAGATTAGAGAAAGTTGCCTTAGATGGTTTGGTCACATAAAGTGTCGACCTTCCGATGGCTCGTTTAGGAGAGTATATGTATTAGATTTAGTATGTGTTAAGAAAGATAGAGGAAGACCTACAAAATTTTATTAGAAAATATTAGATTTTAATAAGAATTTAACTCTTATCAGGACAAATGGAGAAAAAAGATTTATTTAGCTGACCCATGTAGTAGGATAAAGGCTTTATGCCAATGTTGTTGTAGGCAAATTACACGTGTGGAGTTCAAATTTGTTCATTCTTGACATTTTCATCCAATGGTAGATGTTGGTGTTGCAGTTGTCTAGTTGCATATTTTCTAATGGTTGTCTTGGAAATGTGATATGCCTGGCCTAGACTAGCTCGGCCAGGACGGTCCAGACTAAACTAGCCATGTGGCTAGGCGGAACCAGGGGTAGCAGGAGATGGAAGTTTGGCCCCCCTTATGGGGCCCAGGGGAGCTATTATTCATTATATAAGGAGGAATCAAGTAAGTTGTTTTGTAAGGTTATAAATTTAGAAAAAAAAGTGACAGATTTGAATTAGGAAGATTTTATTTAGGGAAAGATGACTAATTTGAATTCAAATTTGAGAGGGAAGTAGGAAGGATTATATATTAGGGTTAATTGGGCTGTTTTACTTTCATTATGAGATTGTGTTTATTGTAGTTCTTTTTTTGAAGTTGCTCTTAGCGGCAGTTAGGATTTATGGGAGAGCCAATTTATCTCTTGAATAGTAGATCAATTGTATCTTTTGTTATTGTTGGAGTAATAAAAAATAAATTCTCATACTTTTGTTTATGCAATTCCTTCTTACTTAAATTGTTTTTTTTTTTTGCTCCCAAGCCGCATTAAATTGTTATCAGAGCAAGGTTTTGGAGAGATGACAACACAAAAGGTGGATATGTTGGAAGGCGATGTGGAGCAAATCAAATCCGAGATGGAGGAGAAGTTCTCAACCATCGAAAGAAGGTTTTCAACCATGGAGAATTGGATGGAGAGCTAATTTGGAGGGTTGGAGGAGATGATGAGGAAGCTCATGGAGATGCAATCCAAAACTCCGCTTTCGGTTCTAATTGCTAACCCTAATCAAGATTTGATCGGGATTCCCTTGGTCGAATTTAAGGGAAAGGAGATCGAATGGGAGGAGTTTGATGATGAGAGTTTCTTTCATCAAGAGCCACCTCCTAGGGCTCCGATAAGGGGCAGATTAGTGTATTCGGATGGGGGACAACATGGAGTGAATTTTGTGGTGGAGGTGGTGTGGTGGCCACCCATTATGGGAGCCATTTTAGGCAAGGGGAGTGGGCGACCGAAGATAGAGTGGGTCAGGCCGAGCCATGGGGATCGGGTCATGCAAGGGGATGAGAAAAAGGTGGGATTCACACCCTCGATACATGGGGGGAATCATTGGAAGGAGAGGAAGTTGAAGTGGAGATGCTAGGGTGAAGAAGTTGAAGATGACAATATTTAAAGTGGAGGATGCCCATGGGTGGGTGTATTAGGTGGAGAGTTATTTCATGGTAAATGGATTGAATGAGGAGGAAAAACTTATGGCCGTTAAGCTATGTCTGGAGGGGAAAGGCCTAGCTTGTTTCTGGTGGATGGAGGCCATATATCTGATCCACTTTTGGGAGGAGTTTAAAGATTGCTTCTTGAAGCATTTTCGAGCCATTCGGGAAGGAGACCTATATGAGCAATTCTTTGCCTTGGCTTAGGAGGGGACCGTCATGGAGTATAGGGAGATATTTGAGTAATTTTCTTGATGGTTGTGGGGAATTTTGGAGGCAGTGTTGGATCCTGAAGGGCCTAAAGCCCGACATACGGCCAAACCTCTTATTGTTGAGGCCAAGGGGGTTGACAGAGAGGATGAAGCTAGCCTAGATGGTGGAGAATCGGAGACAGATGGAGAGGACTAGTAGGAATGGAGTCATAGGAGGCTCCTATAGGAGTGCCTCGACTTCACTGGCAAAGGTGCGGGACAAAATAGCGAAGGGTTTATGATTCTGATGTGATGAGAAGCAGGCACTAGGCCATCAATGCAAGGGCCGCCCTTACGTTTTGTGATTAGGAGGAGACTGACAACGGGAGTTGGAGGAAGTAGAAGCAGTTGGAGAGCACATACACCTTGATATGGCCGAAGTGTCCCTTAACTTAGTGGTGTGATTTACTCCAAATCATATCATGAATGTGAGCGGACAGATTTGGGAGCGACCAATGGTGATCTTGGTTGATAGTGGGTCTACTCACAACTTCATCTCAAATTGGGTCGTGGATCAGTTGGAATTGAAGTTGGTGGATACAGGGAGCTTTGAAGTCATGATGGGGACAGGGAAGGTGGAGAAGAATAGGGGGATTTGCAGGGGGTTGGTGCCAATGCTCTAGGCCCTATAGATAGTGGAGGATTTTTTTTCCTTGGTTATGGGAAGCACTAATGTGATCTTAGGGATGAAGTGATTACAGACGAATGGGTAAACAGTGGACTAGAAATCTTTGACTATGGATATTCATGTGGAGTGGAAGAGGGTGGTGCTACGAGGAGATGTCAGCCTGTGCATAATTATGGTTTTAGTCAAAACCATGGCCAAGGCGATACAGGGAGCAAGGCTGGGCTACTTGGTGGAGCTGCAGAGCCTCGAGGAGGTCCGAAAATTAGAGACAGACGAGGTCCCTGACTGTAAATTAGTTTTTGCAAGAGTTTCTTGAGGTTTTTGGTAGTCTGGTGGATTACCACCACCCATGGAGCATGAGTACGCTATTACCTTGAAGGAGGAAGCTTCTCTTATCTGTATCCAACTGTACCGGGACCTACATATTTAGAAGGATGAGATAGAGAGACTCATCAGAGAGATGTTGAGGCATGGATTATTAGGCCGAGTGTGAGCCCAACCCAATTTTACTGGTGAAAAGAAATATGACAGTTTGAGATTTTGCATGGATTATAAGGCCTAAACAAGGAAATTGTGCTAGAAAATTTTTCTATCACTATGATTAATGAGCTATTGGATGGACTGTTCGGGGTGGTCATCTTCTCGAAGATTGGCCTAAACTCGGGGTACTACCGGATCGGAATGAAGTGGGGGGATGTGTATAAGACAGCTTTCGGGACTCATAAGGGTCACTATGAATTTTTGGTAATGCCTTTCAGCCTTACCAATGCTCCAACCACTTTTCAGTCCCTCATGAATTGGGTTTTTCAACCCTACCTCAGAAAGTTCGTCTTGATATTTTTTATGCATCCTTATCTACAATCATACGGAGGCGAAGCATGTGGGTCGCCTTAGAATTATACTGAAGATTTTGAGGGAGCACCAGCTGTATGTCAACCTGAAAAAATGTTTCTTTTCACAGCCACAGGTGGAGTACCTAGGACATGTGTTGAGCAGAGCAGGGGTAGCAACAGGCAAGTCCAAAATTGAGGCTATGTTGGATTGGCCATTATCTAAGAACCTGAAAGAGTTGAGAGGGTTCTTAGGTCTCATCGGGTATTATCAGAAGTTTGTGCGAGGGTATGACATGATAACATGGCCACTGAATGAGGAGCTGAAGGACAATTTCAATTGGGGGGAAGCTACAAAGCAGGCCTTCGAGCAGATGGAGAAAGTCATGACCAGGGTGCAAGTATTAGCACTTCCTAACTTTAGAAGGCCATTTGTGGTGGAGGTGGATGCATCAAGATATGGACTAGGGGCAGTACTCATGTGGGATCATCGGCCCATTGCTTATTTCAGCCAGGTGGTCACGACCAGGGCGAGGCACAAGTCTATATACGAGTGGAAATTGATAGCAATTGTCTTGAACATCCAAAAGTTGGGACCCTATTTGTTGGGGGCAACACTTTATCGTTAAAACATATTAGAGGAGTCTAAAGTTTCTGCTGGAGTAGAGGATGGTGATTGAGGAGCATCAAAAGTGGTTATTCAAGTTTCTTGGATATGATTTTGAGATCCAGTACCGCCCAAGATTGGAGAACAAGACCACGGATGCACTCTCAAGGAAGACGAATGAGCCACAATAAACAGCTTTATTAGTACCTGTGGTCTTAAACTAGGAAGCTCTGAGACAGGAGAGTGAACATAATGAGGGTCTGAGGAAGATCAAAGTCGAGTTATTGCAGTACCCAGACAATCATCACCATTACAAACTCATCTTAATGAGGACATCGGGGTATATTCCCAAAGTTGTTGCACGAGTTCCATGGCAGCATAGTTGGAGGACACGATGGAGTTCAGAAAACCTACAGTCGGTTGTCCGTGGAGTTATACTGGATGGGGATGCGCCGAGATATAGAGGACAAGGTGGCGAGATGTGATGTGTGCCAGCGACCCAAGTATTTTGTCGTAACACTAGGAGGATTATTACAACTTTTAGCTCTGTAGGAGAGGGCGTGGGAGGAGCTGACGATGGACTTCATCAAGGGGTTTCCATGTTCATAGTGGTTTTTTTTTGTGATATTGTTAGTAGTTGACCGTCTTAACAAGTATGCACATTTCACCCCTTTGAGACATCCTTACATTGCGGTCTCAATGGCTGCTGCTTTCATACGGGAGGTAGTGTGCTCATATGAATTTCCAAAATCTTTTGTCTCAAATAGAGACAAGATGTTTCTCAGTCATTTCTGGAATGAGTTATTACGTTTATAGAGGACAGTCGTGAAGAGTAACACTGCATACCATCCCTAGACAGATGACAAAACAAAGGTGGTCAACAGAAGCGTGGATGCCTATTTGCGATGCTTTGTATCAGATACACCGAATAGTTGGGCAAAGATGATTGCTTGGGCTGAGTATTGGTACAAAACTTTATGTCATTCAGCAGAACAGACCACTCCTTTCGGGATTCTTTATGAGAGAGATCCACCTCATTTGATACATTATGGGAATAACACTACACCGGTATCTAGTGTAAACTTAGAGGAGATGGATAAGATATTAGCATAGCTCAAGGGACATTTGTTGAGGGCTCGAAAAATCATGAAGAGGAAGGCTGGTGAGCACAGGAGAGAAGTAAACTTCGAGTCATGACACATGGTGTATTTAAAGTTGAGACCCTGCTGATAGAAGCTCTGTTTTAAAAAAAGGACCGGACCGGTCGGTTTAACCGTGAACCGACCAGTTGTCCGATCCGGTCCAGTTTAAAAAATAGGCTTCGCTGAGAACCTGCCTGAATCGGACTGAACCGGCTGTTCAACCGGCGAACTGGTCCAGGTTCGAAAGAATCGGCCGGTTTAAAATTTGATTTTTATTTTAAATAAAATATAAACAATATAATTTACTTTATTACATTTTTTTAAAATAAAATTATATTATAAGAATCTCATTTATTATAATTATAATTAAATGTAAAAATTAATTATAATAAATTATTAGATATTCATAAATATAATATAATTAAACTATATGTTTTATAAATTATAATTATATTATAATATATTCATCATTTCAATTTAATTTAATTATATTGAGAGATAATTTATTAAAATTATATAGTTTAAATTCTTAGAATTGTATGATTTGAGGTTAGATTCCCTTAATTATTCTATTAATGTTATTAATCTTTAACAATATTCTTATTTATTACATCATCCGGTTCGACTGGTCGAACCTTGAACCTCTCCTTATTCCAGTTCATTGTCCGGTCCGGTTTTCACAAGCTTGGATAGAAGACACTAGCTATACGGAGGAATGAGAAATTGTCCCCATAATACCTTGGACTTTATGAGGTTTTGGAGCGCATTGGAGTAGTGGCCTATCGATTGGGATTACCACCTTTGTTAGCACTGCACCTGGTATTTCTTATCTGACAACTGAGCTATGCGATAGGAGATCGCGAGGGGGGGGGGGGGAGTATTGATACACCCTCAAACCAACCCAATCGACTGACCTAACCCAGGCCGAACCAACCATGTGGCTGGGTGGAACTAGGGGCTGCTTGAGGGGGAAGTTTGGCCCCCCTTGTGGGGCTTAGGGGAGTTATTATTCATTATGTAAGGATAAATCAAGGGGGAGCTATTTTTGAAGGTTTTAATTTAGGTAATGAGGGTTGATTTGAATTAGGAAAGATTTTATTTAGGGAAAGATGATCGATTTAAATTCAAATTTGAGCGAAGTATGAATGATTATATATTAGGATTAATTGGGTTGTTTTACTTTTATTATGAGATTGTGCTTGTTGTAGTTCTTTTTTTTTTTTAAGTTGCTCTAGCAGCAGCTAGGGTTTGTGGGAGAGGCGTTCTACCTCGAATAATAGATTAATTGTATCTTTCATTATTGTTGGAGTAATTAATAATCAGCCCCCACAAGGTTTAAAATTATGTAAATAAGCCTCGAGGCGTTTTTCGTTCGTGAGGCGAGGCGTAAGCCTCGAGGCGGTGTGAGGCGTAAGCCTCACGGACGCAGAATTGCGTAAATAAGAATTTAAGGGTTTTAGCATGTAAATAATAGTACGATTCTATCATACAATAAAAATATCTAAATGACTAGTGGAATTAGTGGAAATTAAGAAAGGAGATGCAATAAAATCATGTTTCAAAGTACAAAATCATAAAATTATAGTCTATCCAAACTCCCAAAGTACAAATAAGAAGTAACATATATAATCCAATCATGTCCCATCACTAAATGGTTCTTCCAGGGAATCTTCTTCTCCAATTATATCTATAAATATCATATCTTCATTATCTTCAATGTGACTTACTTTTCTCTTCTCTGTTCAATAAGAATGATCATTATCATGTTATTTGCTCACTTGATATAAATATAATGTAATAGCATATAAAAAGTTGTAGAATACCTTTATTTGGATGTTGTGCTGCAGAGCTAGTGGATGTGTGTGGTGTGGTACTAGTAGATGTGCCCACTTGATCTGCTTCGCCCCTCAAGACATCCACACTTATATCCTCTAGTTGCAAATCTGATAATGGCAAATCTGTCTCATCATCTATGAACCACTCATTATCAGATGTCACATCATCACACACCAATGGGTCCTCATCATTCTTCAACCCCTTATTCCTCAACCTCCTATCTATTAACCTCTTGTTGTGCATAATATACACAAGGGAGTTCATTTTGAGAGTTGAAAGTCGATTTCTTCTCTTTGTTTGCATTTGACTATATATACTCCAGTTTCGCTCACACCCAGAAGAAGAACAAGTGAGGCCCAAAACTCTAACAACAAAACTCTGTAACTCAAGGGTGGAATCACCAAAGTGGATCTACCATTCAACTATTTTCAAGAAGAAAAATGATAATCATAATATAATAAAGTGTTTTGCATTTACAAAAATAAGTATACCTGGAGACCGTTTGGCAATGGTTGATTTTGCTGCTTGCAGACAAAAAAATCCCTTATTCCGAATAGAACAAGTTGTAAATCTGCAAGCTCCCTATCTGTCTGCTCCGGTATTAGTCGTTCCATGCAATGATACAAGCCAAGCTTCACCTCTGGGTTTGAGGATTTCCTCTCTGAATATTGAAATTGAGGATTGAGATAATACACCGCTGCATGTAGATGACGGTGTAACTGTACCTCCCACCAAGCATCAATGATATCTCAAATCTCTCTATAACTTACCTCATCTCCTCCCAAGTTATGTGTAATCAACTCCTTCGCCTCATACATAACATTATAAATAAAACCCATGGATAGTTTCTTCTCGGCATCCACTAAACGTAGGACTTGTACCAAGGGTCTCATGCTCAATATGACATAGGTCACAGTGGCCCAAAATTTATCATTTAAAATAAGCCTTTGTATTTCCTTCCCCTCAGTTTTCTTCCCCCATGTAGAATTAAGCCATTGTGTTGATGTAAACATGCTTCCAGAGGTTGTCTCACATCCAACAGGCTCTGAACAAGGTGCTACATTCTTGTGTGAGCCGGATAAGTGCTCCTTCATGCAAGTTACTCCTCCCTTCACCACCTTATCACAAAAATTGCATTTTAAATACACATACGTCTTCTCGCCCACTCCTACGTCAACTTGCACACTATATTTCCAAGAAGGGTCATGCCGTAATGACGTATTTGTCTTTTCCTTGCCTCTAACCATGTTTCCTAATGCAAAAATCCAAAAAAAAAAAAAAAAAATCAAAAAATAAAAAACCCTGGAATTTCTTTCACTTGAAAAATCTTTGGTTGAACTTAAAAAAATTACCTAAAATTGGTTGTGGACTCCTCCTAGAGGGCGGCCGAACACTTCAAGATGGCCGGAGTGAGGCGGCGTCGGCGGGAGAGGCGGCGGGAAGGGAGGTCGAGCGGCGTGCGAACAAACAAGAGGCCTGCGGCTTTTTTTCTGTTCGGGTTCGGGTATGGCTGATAGGGGAGGGGAGGGGAGGAATGAAGTATTATTTCATTGAGACTGAAGTGAGTGGGTTCCAGAAATAGAGGCGTGCGCCTCAGGCTGAATTGCGCAATTCTGCCTCAGAGGCGCGCCTCACAGTGCACGAGGCGTACGCCTCATGGAAACCCAAAAAGGCTTAAGCAATGAGGCGCTTTTACTCAAAATTGCGCAGAGACGCCTCTCATTGCTCAATTTTAAACTATGAGCCCCCATACTTGTGTTCCTGTAATTTCTTCTCATCTAAATTATTGCTTTACTTCCAAGTAACATCATAATGCTGTAATTTTTACATTTCATTTGCTATTATATGCATGCAGGTTGCAGGTTTGCCAACTAATATAGGTTTCCTACATAAAATCGCAAATCATTGGGCTTTTGAGAAGGGCCTAGTTGGAACACATTTCATTGAGCAATTCAAAGAGGATCTATTCATTGATTCAGGTGTTGATATAGCGGCTGGGACATCTGCTGCCTCCAAACTTGGGGCGGCACTTGTTGCTGCATGCATCTGTGAAATGGATCATAATTCCTACAAGGAAAATTTTCCTGGTTAGCAATTTTTGTTTTTCAATTCTGTTTTTAGTCTTTCTTAGCTAGAGCTGTTTTAGAACCTGAAGTTAGTCAACATTTGCAGGTGGGGACAAATTGCTTTCATTATGGTATGATAATCCACCTTTCCGAATGCATCACTCTGCCAAACGTTTGATAGAGCTGGAGTGGGAGAATGAACTCGAAGGAAAATGCCTAGAACTCTTAAAGCTGACCATTACCTGTGTATCCAAAGGAGGATATTTAGTTGAGGTATTAAATTTGCAATTGAATGTGAACTGATACGGTAGATTAATATATCGCAATAATTTAGGCATTTAAGTTGTCTTCCGCCTGTAATTTATGCTTTTATTTCAACGCTATTTACCTACTGTGTATCACTTTTAATCCAATTCTTGATATCTCATGCTTATAAGCTTATTCTGGCCCTAAAGTGTTAGTTCATTGTACGTATACTAAATTTCTTAGGCTCAAAGCTTATGTCATTGGCAGTTTGAAGGTGGCGATTCCCCTGTCATGGAGATCAAAGTCGTGCATTTGGGTGAATGCAAATGCATTGTTGAAGCTGATGGACTGAGCACCCACGTTACTTTGGCACGGTATTTCAAGGTCAGATTCTTTTCCTCCCTAGTTCCTTATACAATGATTCGAGCAATTCAGTTTGATATATTCTGCACAAAAAATTCCTTGTAACATTATAGCGAGAGGCAGTCTCTTTTTCCGTCAGGATAATTGCCAGCACATACATATATGGCACGGGCAGCATCACCATCATTACCGAGAACCTGTGACTCTTGATCGTTCTGATGATGATGCGAGTGACCATAAACCTAGTTTTCAAACGGCTTCACATCCTAAAGGGAGTGTGTTGGCACCTATGGCTGGTTTAGTGGTCAAAGTTTTGCTAGAAAATGGTGCAAAGGTGGAGGAAGGACAGCCAATTTTGGTACTTGAGGCCATGAAAATGGAGGTGCGCTAGACCATAGTTTCATATTCTCCTCAGTTTCTTCTCGGTGAACCTATTCCATTTAAACTAATATTGTTGCTGATTGTTTTAGCATGTTGTCAAGTCTCCTCGTGCTGGTTATGTTGAGGGGCTTCATATTGCATCTGGCCAACAAGTCTTTGACACTAGTGTTCTCTTCACTGTCAAGGTATATTCCTCTTTCAGTTACCATACATATTTCCTTACGCACTGCAAAAGTTTTAATGCGATTTCTATACTTAATGGATTTTCACACGTTCAAAATGGACCTGTTGATCTGTCATCGAGAATGTGCGTTTTATGGGTGGTTTTGGAGTAATGGGAAGGTTGACATCATTTTGACCTTGAGGCCATTCATTTAAAAAAAAAAATGCATACCTGGTAAATGAGGCTTCCTTCCATTGCGATGTAGCTTGAGGTATTGAGTCGAATCAGGTTGAAATACCTCTTTTAAAATGCAGGGCACGGTTGCAAACATCAACTTATCCAGCCCCCCACATTAATAGAAGCATGGTGCACTGTCCTTTTTATCATGCATGCATAGGGGAACATTAATTAGTATTTTCTGAGTGGAGATGCTAAATATTTTATTTATTTTATATTATATGACGCCAACGGTCTATTGTTCTTGTTGATAAAACTAGAGGAGTAGAATAAAAACTTGAATTATGCAAAGTCTAAAAGCTTTTATTTGCGTAGATTTAAAGTAGATTTAAAACTGAATATACGAAGTATAATTTGAGTCATATTAGATCAAATGTGGGGATTGTGACTTTGGGCGATCAAGCCATTAATAAGAATTCACGTTATAGATAATTCGGGTCTATTTTTTAAAGTGATGGTGAAAAAGATGGCGATATTATTAGAAGAATTCAAATTGGATGGTTGAAGTTGTGTGATATAAAAGTATCCCATAAACTAAAGGAAAAATTCTATTAGATGGTGGTAAGACTTGCAATGCTTTATGGCACAGAATGTTGGCAATTAAAAGAAAAGCATAAAAGTAAGTAAAGTGTTATAGGGATGAGAATGCTCAAGTGGATGAGTAGCTTCACTCTTATTGACAGAATGTGAAATGAGTATATACGTGAAAATGTTGGAGTAGCTCCAATGGCAGATAAGATCAGAGATAGTCGTCATAGATGGTTTGGACACATTAAACGTCATTTTTCTTATGACTGTGTAGGAAAGTTGATGTATTAGATTTGACCTATGTTAAAAAACGTAGAGGTAGACCTAAAAAAACTTGGTTAAAAAAAGACTACAAAACCTTTTCTTATTAGATTTAATGAGAATTTGACTCTTAACATGACAAAATGGAAAAAAAATTATTTATGTAGCCAACCCCACGTATTGGGATAAAGGCTTTATGTTGTTGTTGTTGTTTGATGCCAAATGTGGGGTGAGGAATATATGTAATGAAACATAATAACTAAATGATCATAGTTCCCATCTTAAGTTTAGCTTGAAGCCTTGGTTTGTTCTTTAATTTTCACCCATTTCTCGGTCCTTCTAGTAATAGAATATCAATCCAATCTCTTGGTTATGGTAGTCTTTTCCTTAAAGATCTCGTTCCCCCTTATATAGAGTGTGGTGGGAGAAGATTGCTGATGGTGGCTTAAAGTGGCCTAGTCTGATTTGCAAGTGATGCTTCTCTATCGATCCTTTTAGTTATGGCTGCCTGACACCATGCAATCTTTTGCCAGATTCAACTGCCAATTTGACTCGCTTAATCCACGAACCCTTTAGGCTCTGATTGACTTTTTTAAAATGCGATCAAGATAAATTTATGGAGCAACTTGTCGGCGAGGTAAAATTTGGCTATGCGTGGCACCACGGTCTTAGTGGAACATCAATGGATGCTAGCCCAATGGATGCTAATTCAATTGGACCAGCCTAGTCTAGTTAGCCCATAGGGTCATGAGCTATTTTTAGGGCACCAACTTCAGTGAGCGTTGAGGCTATATTGCCATTGGACAAGTTAACTTGTCATCCTGAAGTTGATCAACCAAAAGTCAGGCAGCCTAACTCTTGCGTGTTAGTGAATTCCCAAGTTGGTGGCTCAAACTTTTCTATCACCCTTTCCCGTCTATTCATGCCTAACATGATGTATGCCAATCTGTTGAGCCTGTCATATTCTATTATAAGGTGTCACTCTACTATGTTTATTGTCGGCTAAACCTGCTAGATCCCTTGGCTCATCCGTCCATCTATCGGTTAAGTCAAAACTCATTAAATTTTTAATTAAAATTTCTGGCCCTTACATGTATACCAAGAACCAAGTAAAATAGTTGGTTGGCGCCATGACTTCTATAAGAAAAAAACAATTAAGTCAACGCCATGACTTGCATAACCTATAGTTACAAAATCATCAAAACTAAAAAAGAAAAGATAAATTTTTTATAGATACAAAAGCCAAATGTCTCGTTATCCAAACAAAAAGAAAAAAGTATTTTTTTTCACCAAATATCTTCTCAACCAAACAAGTAGTCATTTTTGCTTTATTTCTTTTCTTTCAATTCCTTCAAAATTTTACGCTTCTGTCACTTCAAATTTTCTCATTGCTTTATGCAGCAAGATATGTTCTTCGTTCTTATCGTCTGTGTTTTGAACATTGCATGCTGAGGATTGAAGAGGAACTTTAATATTTGTGTCTTTTTGGTTTGAAAGAATTTGAAGGATTACTTCATAATTTCTTAGTGTTTGTTCGAACATTATTAGAAGGAAATTAGGTTTATCTTGAAAATGTGAACAAACGATTATTTTCATTGGCAATTCCTTGCCCACTCCTGATGAAATGGACTAAAAAATTATCTAGCCATCGGTGTGACTTGCTTGCGTTGTACTTGCAAGAGAAACTATTTTTTCACACAATTTCTCCTCAACCTAACAAGCTGTTGAAAACTAATTTCAATTTTATTCCTTGGTTATTTTCATCTATTTCATTTTCCTCTTCTAATTGCTTCAATCCAATGCAACCTTTCTAAATGTGATTCTTCATTACTGTGCTGAGCGAAGAAAATCAAGTACGTGTTAGCCAAAAAAAAAAAGTACGTGTTAGCCAATGCTTCCTAAACTAAAATTTAGTCTGGAACTGTTCAATCATTAATCTTATGCCAATTGCATTTCCTTGCACATGGAATGTTACGCATAGTACTAATATTTGATCAGTGAACCATCTTCTTCTCCCATAAACCAGGATTAGCGACTATCATTTCTTCTGGAATATAATACTTCTGGACTTCAACCACATCTGCAACTGCACCTAACTACGGAGGTCTTTGGCACACAGGCTGAGAGATAAATGGCAGGAATTGGCCCAAGAGACTTCATATCACTTTTCTCAGCGTTCGTAAGCTTCAATAACATAATCTTAAAAAATACTTTGATTTTGAGTATCTCAATGCGCCAATAATTTTTCATGTGGTAAATTCTTTTTAAACTTCTGCTTTGCTTGTCAAATAATGTAGCCAAAACATGATCAAATTCTTCTTATTTGACTCATTAATCACAAAATATTTTATGGTTCTTTGTCCCATCGCCTAACTTTAACCGATTAGTCATTTTAATGATAACATAAAAAACGTACAACTTGTTTTTTCCTCGGGACTTATTCGGGAACATTGAAATGATCAAATGAACTTGAAGAAAGGCTTGAGACTGGATTCATGTTCCAAAATAGAAAAGATTCAATCTTTGAGCAATTCTTTCAAACAATGTTTAGCCTGCCTTGTGCGGGCGGCTAAATATCGAGCTGTCACGCATATTCACTCCAGCAGACCATTTTCTTTCTTTTGAGGTCTGTTTGTTTTGCCTTTTTTAAGTGTTTTAATTTATAGTGTTTGGATTCATTCCGAAAATGAGCTGTGTTGAAAAAGGTTGTGATATTTATTTGTTTTATAGTAATATATTTATTTATTTTTTGTTTGTTTGTGTCTCAACGAGCTTAGTATTTTCACACATAACCACATTAAGGCTTGTCTTGGACGGCTTTCTTACTGCTTCTTAAAATAATTTTTTAGTATAAAAATTTTAATTTTTTAATTAAAAAGTTGTTGTAAATAATGTTGTAAACTTATATCGTTATCTTAATATTATCTTGTTGTTTTAAATAAATTTAAAAAGGACTAAGTTGTAGGTGATTTTCTAGTTTAATTTTTATTTTTATTTTTTTTGGGAAAATTTGTTAGATGAATTTCAAGAATTGAGGCTTCAATATCATTTACTTGTATTATAATAAATATTTGAACACTTCTGAAATGAGATTCAATAATGCTTTTTTCAGTAAGGATCTATAACATCTTTGGTGTCTTTTGTGTATTTATAAATATTTTTTTTTTCCTTTTTGGGGTTGATTATGTGTGAGATCTAATTTTGAATTATTCTTTTCGTTGGGGAAGCTGAGACTTTCAATTTTTAGGTTGTAAAGTCTTGCGCTCTACCGCATGACTTGTCCAGCTAATAATGATTTTCTTTTTTGTCATTAATTTGAAATAAAAGATCAAATCATTCAATCTTTTTAATGTCATGAAAGTTGGTGATGTTTTATGATTTTAATTTAGTTTGGTGATCAATTAGATATTACAATTTCTATAATGGATGTCTCCATTTGCTACCTAAAATAATTGTAATTTTAAAATAGAAAGGCTTTGAAATTATTTGGAGTCAATTACATAATTGGTTGATGGTATTTAGAGAGTATTTGATTATTTTTATTGTTAAATAATTTTAGTTTGATTAGATTTTTAGGAAGAAAATATCATTTAGTTTGTAAAGCTTATAAAATTATTTTGAGTGAAAGTTTTTATATTCAATATTGCTCAGTAGTTTGAATTTTTTTTTATAAATGATTATTAGTTCAAAATTAATAAACGATGTATTAGAAATTAGTAAATTTAATGTCAGAGAGGTTTTAAAAAAAAATAAGTGTGGGAAAATTGAAGTTAGAGGCTTTTAAAAAATTCTTTTAAACCAAGTTAAAGAGGCTTGAATCATGGACATGTGAATTTCTTTTTATTGGCATATTGGTAAAATCGAAATTAGAGAAGCTCTAAAAAAAATGAAGTGTGAAAAAATTGTTGGACCTTATGATATTCTAATAGAGGTGTGAAAATGTTAAAGAGATGGAGTTTTTTGTCTTACAAAAATTTTTCAATATTTTTTGGCAATCTTAAAAGATGTCATATGAGTAGAGAAGGAATGTGTTGATTCCTATTTTTAAGAATAAAAGTAATACACAATAGTGTGTTAATTATAAAGGAATTAATTTAATGTGTGATAATTTAAAACTTTTGGATAGTTATTGAGCATATGTTAAGGTGATACTAATATTTCGCAAATATAATTTGGATCCATGCTGCGTAGATCTATATGGAAGTTATACATTTATTGAGAGGTTGTTGGAGAAGTATAAGAGAATTAGGAGGATTTACATATGATATTTATTGATTTAGATATAGCTTTTGATAAAGTTTCAGGAGAAGTGCTATGGAGAGTTTTAGAAGAGAATGGGATTAATAATTCTTATATTCAAGTCATTAAGGATATGTATACAAGGGTTGTTATTTGTGTTAAAAAACAAGAAGGTTGGACAAGTATTTTCCTATTTTAGTTGGATTGCATCAAGGTTCGGCTTTAAGCTCATATTTTTTTGCTTTAGTCTTGGATGTTCTTATCAGACATTTGCAAAAGGATAGAGGCTTTTTGATGATGATATTTTTATTGTTTATAAGACTAAAGAGGGAGTTGAAGGTAAACTTGAATTATGGAGGTCAACCTTAGAGTTTAAAGGTCTTGGTTTGAGATATCCAAATTTCAATACATAGAGTGTAATTTTAATAGTAATCGATCTTGTCTGGGGATTGTAATTTTAATAGGAAAAATTCTATAAGATAGTGTGAGGCTTGCAATGTTTTATGGTGCAGAATGTTGGCCATTAAAAGAGAAGCATAATATCAAGTTAAATGTTTCATATGTGAGGATGCTCAAGTGGATGAGTGGCTTTACTCTTAGAGATAGAATGAATGTGAAACTAGTATAAATGTGAAAAGGTTGGAGTAGCTCCAGTGCCAGATAAGATTAGAGAGAGCCACATTAGATGATTTGGTCACATAAAACATCACCCTTTTGATGACTCAGTTAGGAGAGTAGATGTATTAGATTTGGCCTATGTTAAAAGAGGTAGAGGTAGACCTAAAAAGACTTGATTAGAAAATATTTGAAATAACTTTTTTTATTATATTTAAATGATAATTTCACTCTTAACAAGACATAATGGGGAAAAAGATTCATGTAGTTGACCCCACGTAGTAGAATAAAGGGTTAACATAATAGTGTCATTTGGATTTTTGATTGTTTGAATTTAGGGTTTTGGTTTGGAAGGAGGCAACCGGAGAAAATTTGTTTCAGGATATTTTAATTAAATGTTGATTATGAAATTACATTTATATTAAGATAAACGCATAAAATAGAACTAGTCAACTGAAATTTATATTGCTTCATTCTGAAATAAATTTAAGGAATATAAAACACACACTAACCCAATTTTGGATAAGGCTTGAAGCCAGCTTAGGTTCCGACATTTGTCTTCAGTAGAAATTGTTGTTTTAAAATAAAGTGGAGGTTATAATAATAATTAGATCATATCAACAAATCTTTGATTGATAAATGTATTTATTTGATAAAATTGTGAAAGATAATGAGATAAGTGTAATCACTACTGCATCATATAATCATTTGTGACTGACCCTTATTGGTAGTCCCAACTCAAATCAAGAGCTAGCAATGTTCTGGGTTGGATGGTTTGGGGTCTGCTGGTGTTTGGAGCTGGCTGAGGCGTTAGTTTTGTTGTTGTAGCCTGGAGCTTCGGTTGGAGCTTTTGTTGTGTGGTCCTTTGTTTCTTTTAGGAGCCCTGCTTGGGTTGTTTTGGTTCTCTTATGTTTATTTTGTTTGATTATTATAATAGGTTGGAATAATGGCTCTTAGATTTTACTTTAAATGCTATTGTTAGGAAGCTTATGTTCCTTTTAAGGACTTGTAATTTTTCACCCAATTAACGAGTAAACATCTTTGTGGGTTTTAACCAAAAAAATAAAAAAAGAGGTAGCAATGTTCTTGTAGTGAGAAAGCATGCAACTTATAGCTAGATAACTTCAAGTGTGTGATTATTTATTTGTTCTCTGCGCTCATCTAACATAATTTTCTCTAAAATACATGCTTATTCTGGTGCTATGAGGACTTCTACGCATAAGCATTTCTTACTTTCTAGTTAGGTCATAAGACAATCCCAAGAAAAACAAACAAATGTATCTTTTGCATTAATGATTGCTCAAACTTTGTATTTTCAGACAGTTGTGGCATACCATCAATCACCTTGGTGATATCTCATTATTGTCAACATTTGATTTTTTTTTTTTTCCGAACAAATTAGGGAATTCGAGCGTGAGATTATCTTTAAAAATATTTATCATAATGTTTTCAATTTAAATTCCTCGCATAAAAAAATAAAATTTATTATGGGTTTGAAAAATTCAAAACTAAGATGATTGTAGTATTTGTTGATTCATATCCAAAAAGAAGTAATGTGTTGTCTTTGTTTTTGTCTTAGGTTGATGGTCATTATTTGGTTGGTTGTCTTCTTGTTGTTGGTGTTCTTTCGATAGTGGAGTTTTGTTTGATTGTTTGGTGTGCGGCGTGTGGGTGGCTGGGTTGTTTTAGTTGCAGTTGGGCTGTGTGGGTGTTGTATCATCGGTTATGTTGGTTGTTCCTGTTTGTGGATTGTTGGTTTTTGTGAGTAGTCCTGTGAAGGCTCTTTGCTTGTGTTGGATCTGTTGCTTGGTGGGTTTTTGGCTTGTTTTGCTTCTACGTGTTTCTGGTCAGGGGCGGAGCCAGTCATAATTTTTATTTGGGGGGAACTTATAAGTAACTGTTAGTATATATGTTGGGGGTCCAAGGGGCAGCGCCCCTGGCAGGTTCGCGGGGCTGCCCCCGGAACAAATTTTGATTTACTATTTCTCTTTGTATTTGGTTCATCATTCCCTGACAATAACACATCTACACAATGTATTTAATTATATTGGGGGTAATAGCCTAAAGATCATAGTATTTTAATATTTTTAAGGGGAGCAATTGCCTAAAAACTTTTATAATAAAGACTAAAAAATAGATTGAAGGGGGACAAATCATCTAAATAAGAGTATAATGAACAAACAAAATAATTATTTAAATAATTACAGCCGCCCAAATATATATATTGATAAGCCTAGAATTTCTCCCTGTAATACAAATGGACGACTAAAAGGCACAATTATGTACAGCTGTTATGCTTGATATTTGATTAGTGCTTAAAAATATAATAAATCAATGTTTAGAATTAAAATGAATGAAATTTACCATTGAAAAAAAAAAAGAACTTAAATTATAACTATAAGAAATAATTGCTCAATTTTGTTTAAGAAAATATTCAAAAATATTCTTAAGAATATATATTTTTTTCTGAAATGGATCCTAACTATAGCATTTCTCAATGTAATATAATATAAATGAAAGCCTAAAAAATGCTCAGCTCTTACATATGATATTTAATTAGCTTAAGAATATAATATATGAAAAAATAAAGCTTATTTTATAGTTAGTTTAGTATTTCTAGATGAAGCCAGCTTGTTCAAGTATGCAAGATGGAACAATCTCAGATTTGTTAGGTAAGAAAGCGATGTAGATAATTTTCAAAAAAATAAAAAAGTCAAAATATTCTATTTTTTATTTAGATAAATTTAAAAGTACTAAATTAACTTTTAAAAAATATAATATAAATTATTAATATGTTATATTTAACTTAAAATAGATCTAAAAACAACAATAACAACAGCATCAAAGCTCTATCCCACCACGTTGGATCGACTACATGCGTTCTTTTTCTTCATTGTGTCATGTTAAGAGTTAAATTCTCATAGTATTTTTTTACCTAAGACTTTTTAGATCTTCCTCTATCTTTCTTAGGCTTTATTCGGAACAATTTTCTATTTAATTTCTAAAGCAGCTTTCTAGTATAAAAAATATTTGAACTAAAATTTTGTACTAAAAAACTACTTTAAAAAGCAATAAGAAAGATGTCTCAAATAAATCCTTAATATATGTCAAATCCAATATATCTATTCTCATAACCGGTTCATCGGAAGCCTGGGGCTTCCAGCGGAACCAATCTCTCTTTTGAGGGTGGGTAAAAAAAATTGTGAAATACATTATTTTATGTGTGAAATACAAAGTTGATTTTTTGTCTTACAACTGGGTAGTTGCATTAATTGAATGTAGACAATATAATTAAAATGTTTATTCTTCTATTAAAAAAAGATTTTAAGGTTAGTAATTACCCACCTTAAACTCTTTCTAATTCGACCCCTAATCAGAAGACCGGTGTCTTATTTATCCTTAAAATAGGTCTTAAATGTTATAATTAGTTTTTTCTTCTTCTTTTTTATAGACATGAGCTATTAAGATGAATTTACACACATATTATATATGCAAGCTTCGAATTCAAAACTTTTAAATTAGTAGTTAAAATTCTAATCAATGAAAAATTATTCTGTGCGATATTCGGACATGTCAGGAGGCTAATCCGGTCGTGCCACATCATCCAATTCACAATATATTGGATGATATGATGCATTCAGATTGACCTTCGAATATATTCAAACACCGCACATAATAATCTCTCATAATCAAAAGATTGAGATTAGCTGATTTTTTTCTAAGTTTTTAAATTGAATTCCCAAAAAGAGAAGGAAGCGTGGCTAGCTCGCCCGTTGTCATCATGTGCAAGAAGTAAACAACTCTGACATCTTAGATTTGCTTTGAGCTCTTAGTAGTACAAGATTGTCAACGCCTCTATGTAAGATTCGTACATCACATTTGAACTGTTTTTCTCTGTTCAAACAGTTGTGCACAAAACAATCACGTGTTCTCATGTAGATGTTTAATTGCAAGTATTTAAGAATATTTTAATATTTTAAATATAGCATAAATAAAATACTTTGTATTTTAATTTTATTAGATTATTTGATTAATTGTACTATAAGTTTCTAATTTTCTTATATTTAGTTGGTTAATGGTCACCTTTTGATTTTAATCATAGCATAATAGAGACGGTGTACATGTTTGATGCGAAACATGCGGATGATAGGGATAACACTGGAGACCATGAAAGCCTGGTTGGGGTTGTCAGGATGGGGTCGAGCTCAAGGATAGCATAATATCAAAATTGGGGAGCGGAGTGAGCAAGGTTTCATGAAAATAGGCATTGGTGATTGGCGAGAGACGATCGATGTGATTAATTCAGTAGCACTACATGAGTGAGAGAGACGATCAGGAGCATGATTTATGAGGAATGACCGAACAATGCAAGCAAGGTTCCACCAGGGTTTTGTGGGATTCCACAGGCCAGGGTTTGCTATATTGCTCCGAATTTGTTCAATTTAGCTGAATCAAGCAAATTTAGAATAAAAAAAAAGACAAGTACTTGTTTTTAAATACCCTAAAAAAATATTTTGTTTTGATTCTTTAGGAAATCAAACATTTAAAAAGTTAAAGGTCTTGCATTGCAAATGAAATTCCCTTCTAATCGACTCAACCAAAAATCAAGTAATTTTTTTTTTCTTTTTTGGGTGACTTAAAACATTTGTTAAAAAAATAAAATAAATAAAACGTGTAATCATGAATCTCAAAAATATGACGATGCGATTAATATAGAAAAACTTGTATAACTTGTATAACTAATCATAGGGCCAAAATAAACACGCAGGAATATACAAATGTAATCCAAAAAGCAACCTGTTGATAATAAAGAGAGTAAATGAGAACCAATTAACCAAAAAAAAAAACAATACCTAAGCCACATCATATTAATCAGATTAATAAATTAAAAATCTTCTCTAACAAAAATAGATAATATTTATTATTTTTACATTATATTTATTTTAAAATAACTATAATAATTAAGAATTTGATCTCATTAAATTCGGATTAGGATATCGAGCTTTTTTTATTCCTTTTTGCCTTCAGCAACTTTTTTATTTCAGAGAACTCTTCTTTCTCCGGCTCTCTCGTCAGTTATCCTTCTGGGTGACGAAGCTGAGATCATCTTTCTCAAGTCGCCAACAGCTCTCGAGTCGTCGTCTCTACTTTTCATCCATTCAACTTGTTGAATAGAGGAAGTAGAAAAGTACGGCAGGAATGTCAGACATCGGGTCAGCGATGTCTGCAACCCGTTTTTCTTGCTTCTAGGTTAGGTTTTCACTCTTCGATCTGTCCATCGGCTGGCTTTATTTAGTTTGCGGAATTGTTATAGTTTTTTTTTTTTTGGTGCCCTTCGTCTGGCTTTGGCGTGGTGCGGTTGTGGACTTCTGTTTTCTTGTTTCTTTGATTTGATAATTAAAAGGGGGTTGCGTTCTGTGTGCTGTTTCCTGATTGAATTTTTGAATATCTTTGGCGTTTTGATTGAATGCTGTTTTGGTTCCTATTCCGTTGCTGAGTTTTCCGTTTCTTCCTTTTCTCTGTTTGGTTGATAATTAGTGAATTTCATCTTTTGAGTAGTTTTAATTGAAGGAATTTCATAAAGGAAGAGCTTTTAGGGTTCTCTCCAAGTGATTGGCTTTTAGTCAGCCATTTGGTTTTGTTTTTTCTTCCTTTTTTTTAAGATCGCTTTTTTTTTTTTTGCGGTTATTGTGATTGGTGTGGCCCCCTGGAATATGGATTCAAAGCGGGAGAAGTCTGAAGGTGAGGTAAAGGAAGGGGGTTTCCGGTCGAAATTGAAGGGTTTAGGGAGCTTTAGTGGCAAGGATATGTTCTTTAGAGCAGATAAAATTGATCTTAAGAGTTTGGATATTCAACTGGAGAAGCGGTTGAACAAGGCTTGGAGTGAGGATAAGGTTGAGAACCCCAGGGAGGAATGGGAGATTGATTTGTCTAAGCTTGAGATTCGGTATGAGGTGGCTCGAGGGACTTACGGTACTGTTTACAAGGGCGTTTATGATGGACAGGATGTAGCAGGTACTTAATCTCATCTCCTTAATGTATCATTACTGTAGAACTGATTAATTGATAGTTATTAGTTGTGCATGTTGCTATGCTGCTGCTGCTGGTCTTTTTTTAATTTTTTATTCTTACAATTGTCGTCCATTTGAAATAGTTACGTGATTGGAACCTAGAAAATCTATAAATGTAATATAATTTTCTATGAAGTTTGTTTGGATGAATTTGCACAACATATACATGAATTGCATGATAATATTCAATGTAAATTTGTTGTCAATTAATCATAGTTTTAAACCCATTACAGATGCGAACTAGAAGCGTGGAATTCAAAGTAGATATCAGGTAATCGGATTTAAAATCTTTAAAGGTTTTCTACAAAACTCTTAAGAAAAATAGGGTCATATGCAGTCACGTAACTATTAAGTTTGAAATCCAAAAAAAAAATAAAAAATTGATGTTAAAGTTGAAATCCAAAAAAAAAAAGGATGCTAGTCCAATTTTCAATGTATTTGATTTGATTATATATTCGGAAGCATCAACAATGCTTTGGGTTATTTTTCTTTCCACTCTTCCTTTTATTTTGATATCAAACACCTCAACAATACACTTTTGGATAGCAATACAGATATTGTTTCATAAGTTTTAATAGATGATGAAGTTATATCCACTATTTATGGCTGGGATTAATAACATGTTATGAATTGGTTATATATATATATATATATTATCATTTTTGTCACACGCAGCTTAAATATCAATGATTTTTTTAATGGTCCAACATTTAGATCCATATAGCATCGATGATGTAATTTTTATTGTATGAAATATACTTTTAAGCCTCTATGATATTCTCTTATCACATAAAACTCGAGAGGCACTTCTCTATTTTAATCATCCAGGATTTAACTCTAAAAGTTATATCCTCGTCTATATCTCAAGTTTTACGTATACCAGATGCAATATATTTAAAGTTATCTCATCCAAGTATCACTTTATTTTTCAATAATATTGAATGATAATTTTTAATATTTTATCTAAAAAATTACATAGCGTATACTCAATTTTTATTATACTAATTCCGAGGCCTCGATTCTCTAAATATTTTCCCAACCGTTCTATTTTATTATTTATTCTATTGAATGTTCACTAATTAGAATTATATCATATGTAAAAAACATACACTAAGGTACCTTGCTTTGAATATTTTGTAAGGAACTCCATAACCTATACAAAAGGCCTTGATTTCATATTTGTCCTTGAGATACATTTATGATAATTGAAAACTCTTAGGCAACTTCACAACTAATTCTAATATTAGTCAATATCCCATCATACATATATTTAATAATGTCAATAAAACTTAGATCCACATTCTTAATTTAAAGCACCAAATCAATTCTTGTGGTACTTGATCATGCTTTTTCAAGATCAATAAAATTACATGAAGATTATCTTTTTGTACTCTTTACTTTTTCATTAATTGTTTTTACACAAAACTAACTTATATAGTAGATCTTCTTAGCATGAAATCAAATTAGTTATTTTAAATTGTTGTAACTTTATAATCATATACTCCAACATTTTGTCTCCAATAGCTTCAGTATACGAATCATAAATTTGATTTCTTTATAATCAGCACAATTAAACGACATCTTTGTTCTTAAATATTGGCATTAAATTGCTTCTTTCTCAATCATATGACACTCTCTTAGTCTTCAGAAAACACTATTTAAAATATTTGCTAACTAAATGATTCGATATCCTTTATAACTCCTCAAATTTCAATATATATTTTATTTAAGCCTAAAGTCTTACATTTATGCATTTTTTTAGAGCTATATCTATTTTATTTTATTTGGATAAATCTATTTTATTTTCAATGTCACCTCCTTATAGTAGATGATGTAGAGCCATAATTCTATTTGATTAGTTTTTTTTATACTCTTAAAATATAAATCCATAAGTGTTGTCCGATGATGTTCTGTGGTCATGTTTTTTTCTTGAAATCACCTTACAATCTTTCAAAAATATTATTTATTTCTTTCTAAGCTAGATATAAATTAGTTGTGGTTTGCTAACTTTAAGCAGCCAAGCATTCTTTCATTTATTAAATTGTGTTCGATATTGCAAGATCATATGTTACTATGACATTGAGTATATTTTTTCTACTGTATTTCTATATCTCCGATGCCATAAACATTATGTATCCTCTTATGACCCATTTTACAAGAAACTTTATACCTATTTAATCACTACCAACAACTATCCTTTCTTCTATAGGTTTACGATGTAATAGTTCATTAATCTCTTTCCAGAATTAGTTTTTTCTACACCCAATTAGTTGGTTGACATCCTCATGATATGAACGTAAATTAAATTATCAAATTACTGGGCTCAACATATGATAAATAAGTTTTCTTTCTATGTTAATTTAAAAATGAATGAAAAGATTATTTATATTTTTCGTTTCTCAGAAGTTCGGTCCTATCAAACTTGTTCCTCTTCTAAAAGATTTCATAAACGTTGAAGCTCCAAGCCCACCTTACCTTTGTGTCTCTTGCATTGTGTCTATCTTTGAATCTACACTCACTTTGCTAGAGACTCTTTTCCTACCTTTTCGTTTCTTTTATTGGCTCACTAATTGTCTTCATTTACGTCTCATGTGGACTTATCACTTATCTTATTTCATTTGGACGCCTTTTTTATTTAAATATATTTTTTGTCGGTTACTTTGGAGTTAGAATATGAATCATTTGATTATGAGATTGGGATTTTATAATTTATTTTATCTTTAATTATATTTATTTTTTATTCATAATTTTTATGAAATATATAATATATTAAATTCATGGGGATTTCATCTCCTCTCATTTACTCAACGGTATTTATCAATTTTTTGTTGAATATTTTACATCTTTTTTGAAATTTTCTCTTCTAGAGTTCTATTTTGTGCTCTCTAATTTTGCTAGACATCTGGATGCTTCTTTCATTCTCAAAGCATCTATCCGTTAATGTAAGAATATTGGATCTATTGACCAAAAATCTTTTTTTTTTTGTGCATTAAAATTTAGTTTCCTGGTCAATGGCTATTAGATTAACTTTAAGATTCGTTCTATCATGAGATTTTCATCAGTAATAATCCTAGAACCACCTCAGGGCTACTCGTGCCACTATTTATTTTCATAAAAATGATGTTCTTTACTATGACCTAGAATTTCAATTCTCATTAATAAATGGACCATTAGAGTTTCTCTTTTAAATTGGGTTATATTAGTTTTTGCATTAGAGCGTTTTCTTTTGAGGTGTATGTCAATTGATAGCACTAACTTGTTTGATAAGAAACTAAGATTTATACATCTTAAGGGATTCCAATGTTGATAAAAAATGGGTAAATTAAGAGAAAGTTATTGCAGCGTAATTTTCTCCTGTAGTTCATAATTCTTTTATGGATTTTGAGTACATAATTTCCTTGAGATAATTGGCATAAGTTTGACATCTTAATATTTAGTCAATAGTGGTTAGATTAATAATGGTGAGGTACTGAGGTTAGCTGAAGCCAAGAAATTTGAAGTGGGGCTTTAATATTACAACAACAACAACAACCTAAAAAGACTTGGTTAGAAAATATTAGAAATTATCTTTCTTTATTAGATTTAAACGAGAATTGGACTTTTAACATGACACAATGGAGAAAAAATGATTCATGTAGCCGACTCCACGTAGTGGGACAATGGCTTGTTATTGTTATTGTTGTGGGGCTTTAATATTAAAAAAAAGGGCTCCTCTCCTTACAGATCCTAATTATATGGATCATATTTGCCTCGCTCTTGCAGCTTTAGTATAACTTAGCATGGTTTTTGCGCCATTACCCGATCTTTGTTTATTTCTTGCAAGCGGAAATATTAGTCTAAGCATCTAAGCAAATGTTGACAAACAGATGTTTCCATATGCTAGCTGCATTATGTACTTGTTATTGATGTTTTGTTGCATAAATACTTTCAGCACAGTTCCTCTAAATTAGTTCAAATTGTTTTTCACTATTGACCGGTATTTATTTTCCAACTAAAGTTTGACTCGGATCATTTCGTTTTCCTTGTTGTAGTGAAGTTATTGGATTGGGGGGAAGATGGCTATGCCACAGAAGCTGAAACAGTTGCTCTTAGAGCATCGTTTGAGAAAGAGGTTGCTGTATGGCATAAACTTGACCATCCAAATGTTACGAAGGCAAGCCTTCTTATGGACACATTCTCAATAGACATTAGATGTTATATTGTTTTATTTTAAAATTTTGGTTTTTCATCCACGTAGTGGGATAAAAGCTTGATTTTGTTGTTGTTGCTGTATAGAAATGATCTTTCTTTATTAGATTTAAATGAGAATTTGACTTTTAATAGGACACAATGGAGAAAAGTGATTCATGTAGCCGACCCCACGTAGTGGGATAAAGGCTTAATGTTGTTGTTGTTGTATCCATCTTTTAACACCCGTATTTCAGTTACAATTCAAATGCATGGGTGAGATGATAACTTCTTTTCTCTTTGTTTTAGTTTGTTGGGGCCTCTATGGGAACGAGTGAGCTCAAAATTCCACAAAAAAAATCACCAAGCAATGGCAGCAATACCCTCCCTGCTCGAGCCTGCTGTGTTGTTGTGGAGTATCTTCCTGGGGGAACATTGAAGACATTTCTAATAAAAAACAGCCGAAAGAAGCTTGCCTACAAAATTGTAATCCAATTGGCATTAGATTTATCCAGGGGGTGGGTGCACTATTATTTCAAATACTTATGATATGATATCTTAAATACTAATCAGTAACACAATTTTTCATCTTGTAGATTGAGTTATTTGCATTCACAGAAGATAGTTCATCGTGATGTCAAATCTGAAAATATGTTGTTGGATAGCCAAAGAAATCTCAAAATTGCTGATTTTGGTGTCGCTCGTGTCGAGGCACAGAACCCAAAGGATATGACCGGCGAAACCGGCACCCTTGGCTACATGGCTCCAGAGGTGCATAATCACTATATTTGTTCTCCATGCTTCTCCATAATCCTATCCTTGATTTAAGCTCTTTTAGGGTTAAAGACTACTTAATGAAATCTCTAATGTATATAGGTCCTTGATGGTAAGCCCTACAATAGAAAATGTGATGTATACAGCTTCAGCATTTGTTTGTGGGAGATTTACTGTTGTGACATGCCATATCCTAATCTAAGCTTTGTTGAAATCTCATCTGCTGTTGTTAGGCAGGTTAGTTTTCCAAATTTTTCTACTAAACATTTTCATTCACGCAAAGCAAATCTTACTGTTACTTAGATTTTGGATTGAAAATATTTAGATCTCATAATAGAAACAAATAATGTGTTTATAATTTTTGTTCTGAATGTTACAGAACTTGAGACCAGAGATCCCTCGCTGTTGCCCCACTGCCTTGGCAAACATTATGAGAAGATGTTGGGATCCAAGTCCTGAGAAGAGGCCAGAAATGGATGAGGTTGTGAGGCTTTTGGAGGCGATTGACACTAGCAAAGGAGGCGGCATGATTCCAGATGACCAAGTTACCAAATGCTTATGCTTCTTATTTCCAACCCGAGGTCCTTAGTCTGTTCTTCTTCACCTCAACCTATGTGTTATTCTCTTCTCTTCTTTATTTGCTCGTCCTTTTTTTTTGTGTATAAATGTGATAGGAAACTTTTGAAATTTCCTTTCTGATGCCATCTCTTCTGAATATTGACAGTATTCAATCTTATATGATATCATAATCGTCTTACTTTTTTTTTTTTTTAATGTTGCTGTGTCTCTGTGTTGATATTATTTAATAAGAGTTTTTGAAGTGTGCTTTTGGCTTACTGCGAACGCACTGCAGCTTCTTCTGATCAGCCCAATTCCATTTTGATAACGATGAGCTTTTTAGTCATTATTTTTTGTTTTGAAATGACTATATTACATGATTAAGCTCAATTATGATGTTAGATGAATGATTTGCAACAGTTGAGCTATTAGTGGATGTCCTTTTGTCACATATTTGTACGAATTAGTTTTCATTATTTGTCTCAAGATGCCCATATTAGATTTCGTTTGGAATGGCTTTCTTGCTGTTTCTTAAAGCAGCTTTCTAGTAAAAAATTTTAGTTTTATATTAAAAAGTTTCATTAAGAGAGTAAGAAAGCCATCTAGGCTTTGATTGGGAAGGCTTTATTCTTGCTTTCTAAAATAACTTTTTAGTAGAAAAATATCTTGAATTTGATGTTTTTTTATTAGAAAACCGTTTTAAAAAGCAGTACGAAAGCTGTCACAAATGAAGCCTTAGTCTATAATCCGTTGGTGCATCATCTGAGTTTATTTTCCAAATATACGACTCTTTTATCATTGCTATCAACATGTTACTGGTCTATTATTTAAAATTCATCATTTTGGATGAAATACTTATCAAAATTATTTTATCTTTATTCCAGAGTGAGTACCATGCAACCAAATAGTAATAATGATACAGCAAGATGTTTCTATGAAAATAATCAAATTTTTTTTTTCTATAAAATCAAGTTTAGCGTCTTTTAGTTTTAGGTATGAATAAATTAACTCAATTCAAGATCATAGTATCAAGATGGATTACTTTTTAGTGGAGATTAATAAAAGTATAAGCAGCAACTCGTCTTGATATGTTTGTTAAACATTTTAGCTATCAATCATGAGGTCTTGGTTTAAATTTTACGTGTGATGCGTGTATGAATTTGACTTAATTTAAAAAATAAAAATAATAATAAGGTTTACTATAGAGATATCCAAGTGGTTTATATAAATAAAGATTGTATTTTGTCACAGAACAGAAAAGCCAAAAAGCTGTGATCTCTGTGCAAGTCTGTAGATGTCAGTGGCTAAGAAGTTGATGGCAAGAAGCCATTGATTTTGTTTCTCCGTTGACAAAGCAGGCTGGCCATCAATTGTGTCGAGCCGTGGTATTGAGTGGTACCAAGCAATACCGAGTGCAGGATTGATGTGGCGTATTCTGCTTGATCTCTGAATAGCGTTTCACATCCATATAGAATAATTAATCTGAATAGGGGAAGGTTAGATTTTGAATAGAATGTTTTTGTTTGATTTAATTTAATTTATTAAATGATTATTTGATTTTTTTTGGATTATGATTAATAATTTAATTTTAAAATTTTTAAAATATATCACTGAAAATTAAAACTTAATTTAAAATGAAAAAAAGACTGGTTGCCTCTAATTTAATTTTTATGGAAGGTGAGACATTAATTTTTTTTGCTGCTTTTTCATTGATATATAAATATTTATGTTGGAAAGTTGCTTTTTTGCATCAGAATATTTAAGTTAATTTCCACTTTAATTTAACAACCAATTTTATAAAATACTATAACCATCCTAAACAGATTCTAAAGCTTCAAAATTGATTAAATGATCATCATTATTAGGGTAAAATGAGTGAAGGAAGAAGGAAAAAACCTAAGTAAAATTGATTACAGGGCATGAGAACTCGGATTTATGAATAACTAGAATTGACTTTATTAGACGAAAGGCCGCGGGTTAGAGTCAACAAAATATTGATAAAAAAACTATCCCAAATGAAAACATAATCATGTATCAAATAAATCGTCTTCATAAGTCCATTTATTAGTTGTGATCCCACAAATTAGCTTCATCCAACTTCGACCAACATATAGATCATAGTCATTTTATGCTATAAAGAGATTCATAAGAAGCCATATGAAGACTAGCTTATTAAATATTGTCATAGAGTAAATTCTATAAATGGAAGATGATTCCTCCTATTAGCATCTCTCTCCTTACAAGGTCATGGTAAGGTAGACATCTTATGTGACAAACCATTGAAGACGGCTCTCTCTACTCTTATTTGTCACTGGAGCTACCCCAATCTTTTCATGTTTTTGTCTCTATGTGTAAAGCCACTCATCCATTTGAGTATCTACATCTTGCAACACATAGCTTAATTTTATGATTATATTTTAATGGCTAACATTTTGTTTAATGAAGCATTGTAGGTCTCACCACAATCTTATAAAATTCTCCATTAAATTTGACGGGTACTTTTCTATGACACAAAATAACAAAAAGCCCGATGCATTCAATGATGTCATAATATTTTTATATGAAAAATTCGTCTCTTTGGGAACATGTTCATCACAAATGCATTATGAAAATGATGATGGATACAAGCTGCATTGAGTCAAAGAAATATAAATCTCTTAGGATAAATTGCACAATAATAAGCGCATATTCTAGGGTTAGGAAGCTTTTGGCACTAAGCACTTAATAACCTTCAATTTTTTATTCCAACAACTTGTGGTTGTTCCAACCCATTTCTTCCTTACCTACAACCTTTTATTTTTTATTCCAACAACTTTAGGAAGCTTTTGAACTTATCATTACCTGTTAATTCATGTGTAAAAGTATATTTAATAATTAATATAGCTTGTTTAGCTTACCATTAAATCCTTTTGAGTGAAATTGATCATTTGCTCTTGTTGCATGTTGGAATATTTACGATTGTGGAGAGCTATAGTTTAGCATCCAAGATTTGTACGAAGATCCAACACACATAAAGATAAGAGTGAGAGGTGCAAGAGTTATAAGGGACACCAAGATTTTTATATGGAAAATCATGAAAATGGAAAAAAACCATTGAGCATGATCCATTTGAAATGATCCACTAATGTTTGTTGTTGATTATATAGTACATTACATAGTTGGATTTTGAAGAATCTAATATCATAAGAGTCATTTTCAAGAGGGGTCATAGTCTATTGGTGACGGTGGTCGAAGTGGCATGTCAATGGAAACCGAGTAGAGGCCTGGCCGTGGTGGGAGTCCATGCAGAGGTCCGATGGCGGTTGACATACATACGTTGATCTGGCAATGGTCAGGGTACAGGCGATGGTCTGTGGATGGGAGGTGGTTTTGGGACGGTCAGCGGCCGAATGGTTGTCTGAAGCAATGTAGTGGTCTTATGATGGTTCGACGGCTAGGCGGTGCTTCGATGGTGGTCAGGCAGGAGTCCGACTGAGATTGAAAGATGGTCAGTGATCTGATGACAATCAGTGGCCGAGCAGTGTTTTGGCAATTCTCGGTGGCCGGACGGTGGTCTGACGATGGTTGGGAGGAAGTTTTATGGAGATCAACAGATATGCGAAAGTTCAATTGTGATCGGTGGTGCGATGATGATTAAGCGGAAGTTTGGTTGAGGTCGGCAAATGAGCGATGGTCCAACGGCAGTCATTTACCCGTGGCCAGCGGTGGTTCATAAAAGCTTGCCTGCGGTGGTGCCTAGGCACAATTCTAGGATCCTCAAAGTCTTAGAGTCCTCTCCAATCTTTAGTAAAAGTTCCAAGCTCTACCTTCATGTGGGAAGTGGGGTTTTTGAAAGTGGCATGCCCCTTAAATATGAAGAAGATTTGGGTCAAATTCGGAGTGCTCCATCGAACAACCATTATTGATCCCCTCGATCATAGAGCATTTTTCAAGCATTATGTGGTCAAATGATGTCAAAATTAAGTGATATTGAGCTCATTGGATTCATCTCATCAAGCCGCTTAATTCTACTACAAGCATTCCATATTTATAGGTAATTTAGTCATTCAATTAATGATTTGAACCTTGTGAATATGCTTCAGCCCCTTAATTTGGACCTATTTGGTCTTGGATTGTACCTCTTTTCGTGTCGTTGGGTTCATCTCCTTGAGATGTTCAATTTGACTATAAGTTTGTTGAAATTAGTGTCAAATGTTCTCGTATTTAATTGAAAAAATTTTCAACTTGAATATGCCTCGAGATTCGTGCTGGATCAAGGCAATTTTTTGGTGACATATCAATTCTATTCTTCTAATTAAATTTGAGATTTGTACGCATCTTACTTTGGACTGTTTGTTGAGTGCTTTAATTACAAAGAAAGAATTCTTGATTTCTTAGTCTTGTGTAGGTGATATGTGTGTTTATCTTAATTAATCTAAATGTAAAAAAATAATAATAAATTGAGATCTATATATTTTGTCTGAATTGATGTTGAAATATTTTAGACCTTCTAGTTGGATTATAATACTTAAAATTAAACTACCATTTTATATTGCAGTGCATTTTTTCTCATAGAAGGATAATGTTTTAGCCTTTTTTAGTAAAATTATGCATGATATTCTTATACAACAACTACAACAATTCTTATAATATATGAAAGTCTATTTAAATTTATAAAAAAAATATCTTTTTTGCTAATTAATCAATATATTTTTAACATTAAAATATATTTTAAATACCATACTATCATATTCATAAAATATATTATACAACTTTTATTTATAGATCTCATTTCTTGTAAAATTATGGACTTTAAGTTCCTTTTATTCGGTAAAATTATGGACTTATATATTATACACGATATCCATATGTAAGATACCAATTGTTTTAAATTGAATAATTCAAATAAAATTTTAATTAATTATTATATTTAATTGAAACTAATAACGTTATTCGTATATGTAGTTTAAATTATTAAATATACGTATTTTAATAAGATATCTGTTAAAAAAATTCTTAACGATAAAAAAATTCTTATCTTATTTAAATATTTCAAAAATTTTAAATTAAGATGCAATTCTTAATTTAATAAAAAATATTAAATATCGTATTAAAGCAACCAAATTAAAAAACAATAAACAATTATAAAGTTTGAAATCGTATTTTGATTGTCTCTTTAAAAAATCGGAATATATTTTTCTGATCGGAATTTTAATTTTCGATTTTATTTATTTCTAAATTTTAGAATTCTTAAGCTCAAATTTATAATAAAAATTATTAAAAGCTCATTTATAAAATTTCGCCTTTCGGCGTCCTCTATCACCTGAAGGAGCCGAAGAATCCCGCTATAAAGCCGGCGATAGCCGAAACGCCGCCATCGCCTGTATTGCTTGCTCTCTCTCTTATGGGTTTGGGGTTGAGGGATCCATCTGCAGCGATGAGGGATTTTCTACAGCAGGCCGGTGGCTGTGCGGTGGTGGACGGCGGGATGGCGACGGAGCTCGAGGCAAATGGCGCCGACCTCAACGATCCTCTCTGGAGCGCCAAGTGTTTGTTCAGCTCTCCCGATCTTATTCGCAAGGTAATTGCTCTTTTCCCCGATGTTTTCTTTTTCTATCTTCTTTTTCCAACTATTATTAAAATTGTGAGGACGACCAACACTCGATGTGAATTTGATTGATAATAATTGCCTAATTGGTTTATTCGTGCGGGCAACGTGAAGATTTTTAACTTTAGTAAAATGTGCACTTGTGGAGTTTATGGCTTCGTTTTTTTTTTGGGAGAAATTTTATGGCTTCACTCACTTTCCTTTTTTAGTTTTTTTGTTCCCCTTTTACCTTCCATAAGTTGGAAGTGGAATCGTTAGATGGTGAACCGATGAGCGGTTTTGTTTTATATGATTTCATAGTGAACGCTTAATTTGTTCTTCTTCTCATCCTGTCAATTTGATGTACAAGATTGATTGGCATTTACTTGTTTTCATTTTCCTAGAAAGTGGGCAAGGCAGTGAGTAAGATGCCATTAGTATAACAAGCTAATATCTGAGCTTGAAAGGTTCTCAACCTTATCCTCACTCCAAGCCTTGTTCAGCCGCTTCTCCAGTTGAATATCCAAACTCATAAGATCAATTTTATATGCTCTAAAGAACATAACTTGCCACTAAATTTCCCTAAACCCTTCAATTTCGACCGGAAACCCCCTTCCTTCACCTCGCTTCAGAATTCTATCTCTTTGAATCCATATTCTAGGGCCACACCAATCACAATAACCGCAAAAAAAGCGATCTTAAAAAAAGGGAAGAAAAAACAAAACCAAATGGCTGACTAAAGGCTGACTAAAAGCCAATCACTTGGAGAGAACCCTAAAAGCTCTTCCTTTATGAAATTCCTTCAATTAAAACTACTCAAAAGATGAAATTCACTAAATATCAACCAAACAGAGCAAAAGAAAAAACGGAAAACTCAGCTACGGAATAGGAGCTAAAACAGCATTCAATCAAAACGCCAAAGAAATAATAAAATTCAATCAGTAAACAGCACACAGAACGCAACCCCCTTTTAGTTATCAAATCAAAGAAACGAGAAAACACAAGTCCACAACCGCACCACACCAAAGCCAGACGAAGGGCAACGTCATCCAAAAGCTCAACTCGCCAAGAAAAAGAAAACTATAACAATTCCGCAAACTTAATAAACCCAGCCGATGGACAGATCGAAAAGTGAAAACCTAAAGAAATTTAATAAACCCAGCCGATGTTGAAGACTTCGCTGACCCGATCTCTGATATCCCTACCGTACTTTTCTACTTTCTCTATTCAACAAGTTGAATTAGGGGTGTAAACGAGTCGAGTCGAGTATTTGCCTTATCAAGTCTGGCTCATTTAATCCTTAATGAGCTTGAGCTCGTTCGAGAAGCACCAACACATGTGATGCGTATTATTATATATAAAAATAATATATATAATTATATCGAGTAGCTTGGTAAGCTTTCAAGTCGAGTCGGGTTGAGCTCGAACTCGATCTCGTTTATTATTCGAGCTCGATTGTAGGCTTGAGCTCGAGCTCGAAGCTCGATAAGCTCAGCTCTCGAGCTCGTTAACAAGTCGAGTTGGAGCCGACTCACGAGCCAGCTCGGCTCACTTACACCCCTAAGTTGAATACATGAAAAGGAGAGACATGGGACTGAGAGCTGTTGGCGACTTGAGAAGATGATCTCACCTTCGTCACCCAGAAGGATGACTGACGAGAGAGCTGGAGAAAGAAGAGTTCTCTGAAATAAAAAACTAGCTAATGGCAAAAAGGAATAAAAAAAGCTCGATATCTTAATCCGAATTTAATTAGATAAAATTCTTAATTATGAAATTTATTTTGACATAAATATAATATAAAAATAATAACTTAAATATACAAAGAAATAGCAGCATTGCTAGAATGAAACATTTTACAGTTTCTTTTTGGACTCCAATTATATTGATGAATTAATTAAGTTTGAAAAAAATATTATCTATTTTTGTTAGATAAATTTTTTTAATTTATCCATCTGATTAATATTATGTGCCCTAGGTATTTATATTTTTTTAGAATAATTTTCTTAGAAAAGGAAAATTTGGTTCTCATTTATTTTCTCTCTCTATTTCCGAGATTAATCACATTATCGTATTTGTGAGATTTATGATTATGGTTTTATTTAATTCATTTTTTTAAAAAGTGTTGTTAAGTCACCCAAAAAAAAAAAAATTACTGGATGTTTGGCTGACTCTATTAGAAATGAATTCCATTTGAAATGCAAGACCTTTAACTTTTTAAATGTTTGATTTAGTAAAGAGTCAACACAAAATAAAATTTTTTAGGGTTTTAAAAAACAAGTACTATGCCTTTTTTGGTGTGATCCAAATTTGCTTGATTTTGCAAAATTGAGCAAATTCAAAATAAATAATTTAGCAAACCCTATAGAACCTCGTGAACCCTTGTGGAACTCTTGGTCGCATCATTACTCATAATTCATGCTTTTTATTAGTCCTCTCACTCATGTAGTGCTGGTAGAACCACGCCAGCCATCTCTTTGTGAACTTGATTGCCTTTGGTATCTGAAAGTGAAGCATTAAGATGGAATGAATTTGTTGTGGGACCAAAAAGAAAGTGAAATGCCCTCGATAAAAGGGGATAATTGTTATCGTTAAATTTTATATTGATACGGACAGAGGAAGAGGGTTTTGATTCATTGAGATATGAATGCTTAGCCAATGGATTGTAGGTGTGAATGTGGTGAATGCAGTTGCGACGTAAAGGAGAGAGCGAAGGAATATGAGTTGAGAGAGCAGGAGTAGGATTGGGGGGTAGGGTCTATTACAAGAACAATCTTGTTTTGATAACATCTTAGAGAAAATCTCTTATTATATTATTTACTGAATATATGAGCCTATATATATGCATACTAGAAATTACAAAAAGAAAGAAATAAAGAGAATATCCATGATTATGAGAATATAACCATATCTTCCTAATGAAATATTCTCCTAATATGGCATTTCCTAATACATCTATGCCCATAATAGGATATTTAAAGCATATCTTCCTAATTGGAAATTGTTTTATATATATATATATATTGTGAATTGTAAGAGAGAAATTACAAAATATGTGATTTGAAGCCATGACCTTGGAAAACCACTGGACCATGGATCCTTTCACAATATAACACTTCCAAATATAACATTTCCTAATAATCTAGGCCAACAATAGGCTGTCTACCTAGCTATGACTATCATGAAACTTTTTGTGCTATTGGAGTTCAGATCATGTTTGAGCTAAATCATCATACGTTTATGCTTATATGCTCTTTTATTGTTTCAATGACCAACTTGCTAATGCCGTAGCAGGTTCATTTAGACTACCTTATGGCAGGTGCAAACATTATAATTTCGGCATCCTATCAGGTATTATGCTTTTTGTCTCCATGATTATCTCAGCATTCAGCATTTATTTGTAGGCCACAATTCAGGGCCTACTAATAAATTAGGGCTTCTTTGCTTTTTGTAGGCCACAATTCAGGGTTTTGAAGCTCGAGGCTTTTCCAAAAAAGAAAGCGAAGCATTACTGTTCAAAAGTGTCGAAATTGCTTGTGAGGCGCGAGGTATATTTCAGAGTAGTTATCGAAATGGACCCTATACTGTAGGTGCAGATGAAGCCAGTTCAAGAAAACAGCCTATTCTGGTTGCAGCTTCCATTGGAAGCTATGGAGCTTTTCTAGCAGATGGTTCTGAATATAGGTGAAGAATTGTTTAAGCACACATCGTTTCCATTTTAGTTTTATATGATAGTTTTATATATTATTTGTTAAAATTTTAATCTTGTCTGATTCTTATTTTGACGTATTATAGTGGACACTATGGAAAAGAAGTAACTTTGCAAACTTTGAAAGATTTTCATAGAAGAAGAGTGCAGGTGCTTGCGGAATCAGGTGCTGATCTGATTGCTTTTGAAACAATTCCTAATAAAATAGAAGCTCAGGTACGTCGTGTGTACGATGTGGTTATGGGTGGTTCTTATGCTGTATTTTTCTCTAGTGCTGCATTAGTTTTATGCTTGTTTATTTTCTATGGACATCATCTTCATTACAATTAGTTCAGATTCTAAACCAACCACTGCTAGTTTGATAATTAAGTGGTGCTGCATATTCAATAGACTAGGTTGAGAACTCTATATGGCTAATATAAAGCAGTTTAGGCTCATTTTTTGGGGCTGTTTGTTAGCACTCAAGATTTGATTTAAGTAGGATTTTGTAAATCCGTTAAATCCAAATTTGGAAATCCTGAGAGGCCTAAATCTTGAAAACTATTTGGTAATGTTCATGATAAATCCTATTAAATCACATGTGACTGTTTGGCTATAGTGAGAATTTAACGAGCGGGCTCTTCCTATCGAGCCAATGGATTTCGTAAATCCGCAAAAAATAGGATTTCGGAAATCCGGGATTTAGCACGAAAAAGCGGAATTTTCCATCTATGGCGGCTTACATTTGCCGTGAAATTTGTTTTTGCATTTTAGGCTGTTTGACTGGTTTTCGCTCAAATCCGCCTCAAATCTGGCTTAAATACTGCTATCAAACAACCCCTTAGGGTTATAAAAAGGCAAATAAGAAAAGAGATGCTAAACCAACCACTGCTAGTCTGAGAGTTAAGAGGCGCTGCAGATTCATTAGACTATGTTGAGAACTCTATATGGCTAATATGAAGGGTTCCCATTTTATGGTTACAAAAAGGTAAAAACTAAAAAGGAAAAAGATGCATCGGCTACAGTGTTGCTTCTTCTGGTTTATTGTTGAGCTGAATTGTTACCGTGGATAATATTGTTTTTGGTGTTGGAAACAATATTGATCAAAGCATGAGGAGAACTACACAGTCATGCTATCCATTTCAAATTTCCTTTAAAAGTGCTTTGCATTTCCCTTCATTGTTCATGGTATTTCAGTACAACTTGACTACTGAAGCCTAGAATATTTTATTTATGCAACGTTGCAATCATTATACTTGCAGGCTTATGTTGAACTTCTCAAAGAAAATAACATTAGGATCCCTGCTTGGTTTTCTTTTTCCTCAAAAGATGAAAATGATGTCGTTAGTGGAGATTCAGTACTTGAGTGTACTGCTGTTGCTAATGCATGTCAGAACGTTGTTGCAGTTGGTATCAACTGCACTCCCCCAAGATATATCCAGGGACTAATTTTCACCATTAGGAAGGTACGTGTTTAAACGAGCAATCCTCATGCAAGGCTCAGCAATACTAAATATAACTCATTTGGTTGCTTCTTAAAGAAAATAACATTAGGATTTTTTTCCTTCTATATATATATATATAATCTCATTAATTCAATTTCATGTATGTTGGAAAAGTATTCTTTGCCATTAAAATTATGCCAGGTTTTTGCTAATTAAGTTTGTTTTATGTTCACAAAGTAAAAATATATTTCAAAAAAATGTATTTTTCATTTTGTCATGATCTACAAATTCTCGTATTATGCCATTTTTGTGAGGTCTGTAAATTTGCTTTTGATTGATTTAAACTCTAGCTTAGTACTTTGTTAAGGCCGGTCCAGCATGACTGGTCTTGTAGCTGGCCCAACAGTCAGGGGGCGGACCAGCTACAAGGGGTGGAGGGGTTGAAATTTTGGCCCCCCTTTGAGGCCCAATAAACCAATTATTCTATATGTTAGGATGAGGATTAAAGAAGGAATGAATGAAGGGAATTTGAATTCAAAAGAGGGAGGGAATAAATTAAGGCAAGAGAGATCTTTTAGGGCTAAATTGGAGGGAAGAGTAGGGGCTTATATAGGGCTTATTATTATTTTTTGGGGATCAGCCTTAAGCCCATATCTTTTTGCTTTAGTCATGGATGTTCTCACTAGACATTTGCAAGAGGATGTACCTTGGTGTATGCTTTTTGCTGATGATATTCTTCTTGTTGATAAGACTAGAGAGGGAGTTGAAGGTAAACTTGAATTATGGAGGTCAACCTTAGAGTGTAAAGGTTTTCGCTTGAGTAGATCTAAAACGGAATATATGGAGTGTAATTTTAGTAGTAATAGACCTAGTGAGGGGATTGTGACTTTGGGTGATCAAGTCATTAATAAGAGTACACGTTTTAGATATCTTGGACTATTGTTCAGAGTGATGGTGAAATAGATGGGGATATTATCAGCAGAATTCAAGTTGGATGGTTGAAGTGGAGGAATGCATCCGGCTTGTTATGTGATAGAAATATACCCCTCAAACTTAAGGGAAAATTCTATAAGATGGTAGTGAGGCCTGCAATGCTTTATGGCGCCGAATGTTGGCCTTTAAAAGAGAAGCATAATACTAAGTTAAGTGTGGCAGAGATGAGGATGCTTAGATGGATGAGTGGCTTTACCCTTAGAGATAGGATACGAAATGAGCATATACGTGAAAAGGTTGGAGTAGCTCCAATAGAAGATAAGATTAGAGAGAGTCACCTTAGATGGTTTGGTCACATAAAAAGGCGGCCTTCCGACGACCCAGTTTATCAAATTAGTATCAGAACGGTGTCTTGGGTTGAAATTTAAAGTCACTATTGCTGTTTTTTACTGAAATTTTTCCACCTTGTTGATTTTCGCTATTGGAGGCTAAAATCTGTGAATGAAAGCAAAGAAGATGGAAGCTTTGGAAAGTGAGATGGAATAACTTAAGGCTGAGATGCAGGAGAAACATTCCGAGATGGAGGAAAGATTTTTTGGAATGGAGGGAAGGTTTTCCTCCATGGAAAGCCATTTTGGAAACATGGAATGCATGATTAAAACATTGATCGAGATGCAATGAAAGACTTCGCTAGCTACTCCTAGGACTGATTGGAAAGGGAAGAAAGTTCAAGAGTAGGATGATGAAGGGTAGAGCTTTTTTCCTCAAAGATCACCCCGAGAGAAGGGCATCAGGGTATCCGGAAGAATGGGTAGCAGAAAGAGGGGAGATCGAACCCTTTTGGAGACCACCCAGGCATGAAGGGAGGTGGACCAGAGGAAGCAATGGTGGGGCTGAAACATGGGGTCTAAATGCGCCAAGGGAAGAAGGGAGAAAATTACACCACCACTACACGAGAGGAACCAATGGTGGAAGAAACCATTGGGGTATGGATGCTAGATGGAGGTAGCTAAAGACGTCGTTCTTTGAAGTGAAGGGTTCTTAGGGTTAGGTATGTCGTTGGAACGTTACTTTGCGATAAACGGGCTGAAGGAAGGGGAAAAACTCATGGTGCCAGGTCTATGTTTAGAAGGGAAAGCCCTAGCCTAGTTTCTAATGGAGGGAGGCTAGGTATCTGATCTAAGCATTGGGAGAATTTAAGAAGTGCTTGTTGGAACGTTTCCAAGTCATTCGGGAAGGAAACTTTCACGAGCAGTTCTATGCCCTAACTCTGGAGAGGACAGTTGTGTAGTACCGGGAGATGTTTGAGCTACTGTCAGGGAGTCTGAGGGGAATCTCCAAGGAAGAATTGGAGGGAAATTTCATGAAAGGGTTTAGGGAGGACATACAGATAAAACTCAGGATATTGAGACCTAGAGGGCTGAAAAAGATGATGGAGCTAGCTTAAAGGGTGGAGGAGAAACATCAGATGGAAGGCCAGCCAGAGCATGGGAGGAGAAATTATTATGTGCAGAGTTTGGACTGGAAGAACCGTCTGGATTGTTGTGTATTTATTGAGTATTTACAAATACTCAGTAAATACACAGTATATCATTAAAAAATTATAAAATACTCGGCGAATGCTCACAAAATACTCAGTAATACTCACAATTGAGTATTTTTTGAGTATTTACTAAGTATTTGCAAATACGCAGCAAATACTTAGTAAATCCAGACGGTTCTCCATGTCCGGACTCCGCACTTAATTATTTCTCCCCAGGGGAGGGGCTTATAGGAACACCTTTACTATCTTGGCACCGAGGACCCAGATGGTGTCATTTCAGAGGGAGGCACCTAAGGAGGAGAACATTGGAGTTCATCCCAGAGGCAATTTTAAGAGTCTCATAGAAGTAGAAGTACAAGACATGCGTATGAAAGGGCTATGCTTCAAGTGTGATGAGAAATTTACACCCGGGCATAGGTGTAAGAATCAAGCCCTTCATGTCTTGATGGTCTTTGAGGGGGGAGAGGAGAGCGGGGCCGAGTTGGAGGAGGGGTATATATTAGAGGAGACTAAACAATTGCATTTGGATGTGGCGGAGGTGTCCTTGAACTCTGTGGTGGGATTTACTCAAAATCACACCATGAAAGTAAGGGGATAAATTGGAGAGCAATTTGTGAGTTATGGTGGATAGTGGAACCACACATAACTTCATCTCAAATTCGATGGTGGACCAATTGAGGTTGAAATTAGCGAAGATGGAAGGATGTGGGGTGATGATGGGCACGTACAAGCAAGATGATAGGAGCTGGTGGATACATAAAGTGTTGATGATGACCTTGTAGGGCATTCAGGTGGTGGAAGATATCCTTCCCTTAGACTTGGGATGCACGAATGTGATTCTAGGGATGAAGTGGCTACGGACTATGGTGGATATGAAGGTGAACTAGAAGTGCTTGACCATGGAGATACAGGCGGAGGAGAAAAGGTAGTGTTTCAAGGGGATGCCTGCTTATGTAAGGCCATGGTCTCTTACTCTCTTTAAAAGCCATGCTCAGGACAATCCAAGGTGCATGCGTGGGATATTTGGTAGAGTTGTAAAGCATAGAAGGGGTCCATGAACAAAAGGAAAGGAAAGTTTCAATGGGGGCCCAACAGATTCTGCAGCAATATCAGAATGTATTTCAATCACCGGTCGAGTTACCACCGCCTCGAGAGCACGAGCATGCCATCAAATTGAAAGAAGGGGCTTCTCCCGTCAGTGTCAGACCGTACCGTTCCCCCAGATCTAAAAGGATGAGATAGAGACTAATCAGGGAGATGATTGAAGTAGGGATCATCAGACCTAGTGTAAGTCCTTTCTCTAGCCCAATAATATTGGTGAAGAATAATGATGACAGTTAAAGGTTCTGTGTAGATTACAAAGCTCTAAACAAGGAAATGGTGCTAGATAAGTTTCTAATTCCTATGATAGATGAACTCTTGGATGTGTTATTTGAAGCTGTGATTTTTTTTTTCAAATTGATTTGAAGTTGGGATACCATCAAATTAGGATGAAGACAACATATGTGCACAAGATGGCCTTTATAGCACATGAAGGGCACTACGAGTTCCCGATGATGCTTTCGACGTCACCAACCCTCCTGCCACCTTCCAGAAATTTATGAATCGAGTGTTCTAGCCATACCTCTGAAGTTTTGTCCTAGTATTTTTTGATGACATTTTGACATACAGCAGGGCAGAGGCAGAACACTAGGAGCACTTGAAGACTGTCATAAAGACATTGAGGGTGCATTAGTTGTTTGTCAACTGAAAGAAGTGCCCATTTGGGCAATCACAGGTGGCGTATTTAGGGCATGTGGTGTCCAAAGAGGAGGTGTTAGCTAACTAGTCCAAGATTTAGGTCATAGTGGACTAGCCTCTTCCTAAAAGCTTGAGAGAGCTGCAGGGGGGTCTTAAGGCTCACCGATTACTACCGAAGGTTTATGAAGGGATATGGTACCATAACAAGGCCTAACAGAGCAATTAAAAAATGATCATTTCAAATGGGGGGAGGAAGCAACTCAAGCTTTCCAGGAGTTGAAGACAATGATGATCAGTTTGCCTATGTTGGCACTTCCAGATTTTAGGAAACCCTTTGTGGTGGAGATGGATGCATCAGGTAATGGGCGAAGAGCAGTACTTATGCTAGATCAGAGGCTTATTGCATACTTAAGCTAGGTGCTCACAACCAGGGCAAAGCTCAAATCTGTGTATGATCGGAGCTAATGGCGATCGTCTTGGCTATTCAGAAATGGTGGCCTTATCTGCTGCGGAGATATTTCATAGTCAGGACAGATCAGAGGAACCTGAAGTTTTTGTTGGAACAACGGATAGTCACTTAGGAGCACTAGAGATGGTTATCCAAGTTACTTGGATATGATTCTAAGATTCAGTATTGGCCAATAATAGAAAACAAGGCAGCAGATGCCTTATCCAGGAGAGTCGAACGCCCTTAGTTGGTGGTCTTGTCAGTACCATTGATGATAGATTGGGAGGCATTAAGACATGAGAATGAGCTGAATAAAGAGTTGAGGAAGATCAGTGAAGAGCTATTGTAGGATCCAAACAATCATCCAAGTTATGAACTGAAAGAGGGTCAGATACTGTACCATGGGAGGTTTGTGTTACCTTGAACCTCGGGTTATATTCCAAACTACTACAAGAGTTCCATGGCAGTGCGATAGGAGGGCACTCCGGAGTTCAAAAGACACATAGTTAACTATCAGTAGAGTTATATTGGGTAGGGTTGCGTCGTGATGTAGAGAACTGGGTAGCCAAATGTCATGTGTGCCAAAGTCATGAGTACTTAGCTATGACTCCAGCAGGGTTACTACAACTCTTAGCCCTACTGGAGAGGGTATGAGAGGAAGTGATGATGGACTTCATCGAAAGGTTACCACGATCAGAAGGGTTTTCAGTGATCTTAGTAGTAGTGGACCGTCTTATCAAGTATGTACATTTCATCCCTCTGAAGCACCCTTACACCACAGTCACAGTGGCCACTGTTTTCATTCAAGAAGTGATATGCTTGTATGGGTTTCCAAAACCAATATGTCAGACAGGGACAAGGCGTTTCTTGGCCACTTATGGAAGGAGCTAAATTGTTTATAGGGGGCAATATTGAAGTGAAGTACAACCTATCACCCTTAGATTGAAGGTCAGATAGAAGTGGTCAACCAGAGTGTAGAGACTTACTTGAGATGCTTTGTATCTGACACACCAAAGAGTTGGGCTAGGTGAATTGCATTGGCAGAATATTGGTGCAACACCTCATACCACTCAGCAACAAAGATCACTCCATTAATGATTCTCTATGGGAGAACCCACCTCACTTGATTCATTACAGCGGAAACACTACACTAATGTCCAGTGTAGAGTAGTAAATAGAGGAGAGGGGCAGGGTACTAGTGGAGCTTATGTGGCATTTGTTGAGAGCCCAACAGATCATGAAGAGGAAGGCAAATGGTCACAGGAGAGGTAAATTTTGAACCGAGAGACATGATTTACTTAAAAGTGAGATCCTATAGAAAAAAAAAACTTAGCTAGAAGAAGGAATGAAAAGCTAGCCCCATGGTATTTTGGGCCTTATGAGATCTTGGAGCACATTGGAGTAGTAGCTTATCGATTAAGGCTACCACCATCCTTAGCTTTGCATCCAGTCTTTCATGTATCGCAGTTGAAGAAGGCAATAGGGGAACATGCACCATCATCACTATCTCCAATTTTGACAAAGGACATGGAGGTTATGTTGGAACCCCTAGAATAGCAGGTGTATGTAGAGGGGAGACGGGGCATAAGAGGTGCTAATCAAGTGGAAGGATTTGCTAGAGCATGATGCCACTTGGGAATCATACAGGACAATTAGGAGATAATTCCCAACTTTCCACCTTGAGGAAAGTGTGTATTTTTGGGAGGGGAGTATTTGTTACGGCCAATCCAGTAGGACCAGTCCTGCAGTCGGCCCAGTAACCAGGGGGCGAAGGGGCTGAAATTGCGGCCCCCCTTGTGGGCCCCAGTAAACGAATTATTCCATATGTTAGGAGGATTAAGGAAAGAATTAATGAGGGGAATTTGAATTCAAAAGAGGGAGGGAATTAATTAAGGCAAGAGAGATCTTTTATGGTTAAATTGGAGGGAAGAGTAGGGGCTTATATAGGGATTATTATTTTGTATTAGGATTATATTTTATTGAGATTTTTGCTGTAGTTTCTTCTGTGAGGGTTTCCTAGCAGCGTCTAGGTTGATTGGAAATGACGATCTACCTCTCTATTTGTAGATTGCTCGTATCTTTTATTTTTTGTTAGTTATAAATTGAAATTTACCACTATTTCCTCCAAATTCTGTTGTTTTCTACTGTTTTTCTGTGGATTTCTTGTTGTCGTTTGTTGAAATTGACTCCAAGGCATATCATTACTTCTACAAATCAAATTAATATATTACTTTTTAAGTGCATTTTGATCACCAATTTCTCTCCATATTATGTCAATTTCTTGGTTTAGTTTTGATCCTTCCCTTTGCAAAAGTTTATAAATGTGACTCTGAAAACAATTACTTGCCTTGTTCCATCAAGCAGTAAATATGATATTTTTAGTTGTTTTTTTTAACAGTTTAGTTGAGATGGCCCTGCTCTTGCCATTGAATGCTTAGCCATTTGTATTGGCTTTTTTTTTTTTTGACAGGCGACAGATAAGCCAATTGTAGTATATCCTAACAGTGGAGAGCGATATGATGCAGATAGGAAGGAATGGGTGGTGAGTTTATTTAATCTTGCTAATCGATTCCTCTGCCCCACCTTCCTTTTGATCAGCTGAATAAACTGGCATATTACATTTTTATATTTTCTTGTGAAGTATTTTATGGTTATTTATCTTCTGTGGAGTGCATCCCACGAGCAGAACATGAAACAAATACATTACATATGTATGTAAGACTTGTAGACGTAGTTTATCTATAGTTGATTATTCTATAGGATCTACCATTGCTTCAGACCTTAGTCTTTTGTAGAGTATCAAGGTACATGAGATTATTTGGTTTAATCTCATATAATGTAGTTGAAAATTTAGTTGATAGATGTACATATGTATTTGTATGAGTCAGGTTAATCAAGTCAAATTATTAACTTGAACTAGGTTTAATATGTCATTGATTGTGAACCTTACACGATTCATAATATTGAGATACTAAACTTGCTCAAGAGGCTTATAAAGTCACTTATTCGTCAAGGCTATTCGACAGGCATCATCTCACCAAGAGTACTTATTTTATTTTTGTCACGACCCGGCCCGGCTAGCCTGAAATAATGGGGCGAGAACAATCGGCTGTACGGAAAGTACATATAAACCATAAACATTAAATTCATTTCTTTTCAACAATAAGACATAAACTTTATCATCTATATACATTAAGAAAGAACCACTAAAAAACATCAATTTGAAAGTTCCAAAAGTATCCTCAAACCACTAAAAACATAAACAAAAACAATTATATAAACTCAAATAAATTGTTCAGATACAAACTACTAACTCAAACTCAAAACAGTAAACATAAAAACCTCTCTTTCTGCGGTCCTCTACGACGGTAGGTGTACTGTCGTCTCGTAGCCATCACTTATCTCCTAAAAAATATTTCCAATAATAGGATGAGCCAACACTCAGCAAGTTAAAAACATTTATCTTAAATTCATGAAATATTTTTCTTATCTTTCTTAAACATGTCATTAAGCATGAAACAATAAAAGATCATAATAAACATTTACATGCATAAATTTATAAAACATTTTCAATAATCATTTCTTAAGATATATATTTTTTCCATATCATTCATTCTTTCTTTTCCATAAAATTTCCTTTTCTTAAATCCTTTCATAATAATGCATAAATGAGGACTAAGTCTGCCAAATGGAGAAAAAATATAGGAGTACTTGATTCTGAGGAAACTCAGATATACTCAAACTATCATATGTTAGGCTTTAGTTTTAAAATTAGAATTTTGTTCGAGTTAACCATTTTAATTTAGAATGTTAGGGTTTATATTCCAACAACACGGGTAGGAGGAAATGTTTGGAATGTGATGGCTTATGAGGTGACTGGAGTCAACAACAACCTCAAATCATAGTGCTAAGATGAGGACTACTGAAGGGTAGTGCTTCAAACTTAAGTCTAACGGAGTGTTCTACACCTCACATGAGGCATAAGTCTGCCCGGGCTCTAGATTTTACAATCATGCTTGAAAATGGCTACTAGCTAAACCCACATAAATGCTTTGTAATTATGAGGTCCGATCTCAATGCGTATGAAGATTAGAGAGGTTTTGATTTAGAGGATAATACTTATAACTTGGCCTTTAGAGATATCTGATCATGTGGGTGTGCATATACTGATTCATTGAATACATATTTTTTTTATTATCTGGTTCTTAAGTGAAGGCTTTCTATATATGATACACTGGCCATGCATGATCATTTCAATTTTGAAAAACTTAGCTCATAGAGTGAGCCATGTAAATTTTCTTTTTTATTAGAAAATTGATTATCGATTTTAGATTGTTTATATGTTAATTGATAGAAAAAATTAGTTTTGTCCTAAGAGCCTACCGCATAAAAAAGTTCAAACCAGTACCACTCGAAGCAAGTGAAGAAACCTAGGAGGTATTGCCTAAGGCTATCAGAAGCCTCAGAATATGGTCGAGGTGGTACTGCCATCGGCCTACCCACGATTAGCTGCCTAGAGCTAGCAGCTCTTAATGTCAAAATCACATTATGGACACTCAACAATCCTATGTCCGTACTAACCACAACGAAAACATATTCCTGATATTCAATATTGATCGTTGTGTCTCCTGCCACACTGCTGACTTAATGGGGCTCCATTGACTGCACCCCCATAACTAGCAACACTGTCTCTATCAGATCCTGAAAGAACTATTATTGACGGTCCCCTCCTAAACTTAGCAAGTCCAAATCCACTCTTTTTCCCAAAATAACTACTTCTAACTGTCTCACCACCAAATCTCTTCCTGCTCGCAGTCCATAGTTACTACACTGCTAGCATATCTATCTTTATTCTCTTCGCCCTCTCGACAAACTGAGCAAAGTCTATGATATCCTGTGCCAACAACGGCTGTCTCAAAGCATCTCAGAGTCCCTCCATAAATCGGTAATACTTCTCCTCAAAAGTGCCAACTAACTTTGCAGCATACTTGGAGAGAGCAGTAAACTTTATTTAGTACTGCATCACTGACATGCTTTTCTTAATCAACTTCAAAAAGAGCTCTGTAATTGTCTCATAGAAGATGGAGGTACAAACCATGTCCTAAATGTCTCAGCAAACTCATCCCAAGTAATCAGGGTATTTGCACGATCCTGAAACTTCTCTCTGTTGGCCCAACCACCAACGCTCTGCCTCATCATCTAATAAAAATGCAGGTAATGCAACTCTTCTTTCAGGAGGATAATGCATCCCATACAGAGTCTTCTCTATCCTCATCAGTCAATCCTCAGCTGCTGTAAGGTCAATACACCTAAAAGTTTAGGAGGATGTTCCAAGAGCAGTAAACTTTATTTAGTACTGCATCACTGACATGCTTTTCTTAATCAACTTCAGAAAGAGCTCTGTAATTATCTCATAGAAGACAGAGGTACAAACCATGTCCTAAATGTCTCAGCAAACTCATCCCAAGTAAAGTATTTGCACGATCCTGAAACTTCTCTCTGTTGGCCCAACCACCAGTGCTCTGCCTCATCATCTAATAAAAATGCAGCTAATGCAACTCTTCTTTCAGGAGGATAATGCATCCCATACAGAGTCTTCTCTATCCTCATCAGCCAATCCTCAGTTGCTCTAAGCTCAATAACACCTAAAAGTTTAGGAGGATGAATCTCCTGAAATTCTATAAATATATATCTGTGTCATCAGATCGGGTACCAACAATTCGTGTGTGAGCCTCACCAACTAGCTATGCTACTATACCTATAATATGAGAAATCGCCTCAGAACTGATCACAAGAGCGTACCCTGAACCTGAGCTGCTTGACTAGAACTCTGATCATTGGTTATATCTGGATATGGCTGTGGTGGATCAGTCATCTTAAAACATTGAACACGACAGAATGCAACACATGTATATGAAAATAAATAAAATGAGAGCCCAAACTACCCATAATCATCTCACTCTTCTACTAGTTAAATCTCGTGACTTTGTTACAATTCAGGAGGATGTTTAAAGAGCAGTAAACTTTATTTAGTACTACATCACTGACATGCTTTTCTTAATCAACTTCAAAAAAAGCTCTGTAATTGTCTCATAGAAGGCGGAGGTACAAACAATGTCCTAAATGTCTCAGCAAACTCATCCCAAGTAATCGGGGTATTTTCACGATCCTGAAACTTCTCTCTGTTGGCCCAACCGCCAGCGCTCTGCCTCATCATCTAATAAAAATGCAGCTAATGCAACTCTTCTTTCAGGAGGATAATGTATCCCATACAGAGTCTTCTTTATCCTCATCAGCCAATCATCAGCTGCTCTAAGCTCAATAACACCTAAAAGTTTAGGAGGATGAATCTCCTGAAATTCTACAAATATATATCCATGTCATCAGATTGGGTACCAACAATTCGTGTGTGAGCCTCACTAACTAGCTATGCTACTATACCTATAATATGAGAAATCACCTCAGAACTGATCACAAGAGCGTACCCTGAACCTGAGCTGCTTGACTAGAACTCTGATCATTGGTTATATCTGGATATGGCTGTGGTGGATCATTCATCTTAAAACATTGAACACGACAGAATGCAATACATGTATATGAAAATAAATAAAATGGGAGCCCAAACTACCCATAATCATCTCACTCTTCTACTAGTTAAATCCCGTGACTCTGTTACAATTCACTTCTCCAACTTTACTCTGATGCCAAAAAATTTGTCACAACTCAATTCGATATGACCTAATATCACACAGGTCCTACCGTGTCCGATTATGATAAGACTGACCCCAATGTCTGGTTGGAAAAATATTGAAATAAAACTTCCAATTTATATACTGCACATAATCACGATTGAATGCAATATAAAGCGAAAGATTATTGAATCTCAACATGATTTTCTATATATCATCCAAAAATATATAATCTGAAAGCTATCTACAATATCGTTTGAAAACGGGGAGAATAACAAAATAAAATTCAAGCCTATAAAAATCAAAACTAACCAAAACATATCTATAGCATAAATCAGAGTTTGCTATCCACAATACTCAGCTCACACCTTATCCTTCTCTAGGCTTGAAAATAAAAGCAAAATTAGGGATGAGCTAACATGGCTCAGTAGGCTATCGCAACCTAAAACAAAAATCAATAACTAAAACCAAAAGAATTCTGAACTGAATCATTTATTGAAATTAAATACAATTAAATAAATATAAAAATTAACTAAATTATAAGGAAACACTTTATAATGATTATCAGAAAGCTCTTAAGCTCAAATTTTTATATATTTACTAATATCTCACCTCGGCACCCACTGACACTGGCATAACAAAATCTCATCTCGGTTGCCCACTGGCACCCGCATAATATAATTCAACCTCGGTCATCCACTAGCGTCGGCATCACAACACTTCAGTAACAGAATCCCACCTCAGTTTCGCTTTGATGCTGGCATTACATCACATCATATTTTTTCACATTTTTCAATGTATTTCATTAATAAAGTATAATTGTACTGAATTCAAAAATTGTCAAAATATCTTAATGGTAGGCAACATAAATATTACTGAGCAAAAATTCACAATTTCAAAGCATAACTAAATTACCAGAGATTGTGTAAAATATCATTCTAAAGCTTTAATTGAATTAAAGCACTATTTTTAGATGTCAAAATAAATTTTCGAGTAGGAAAAGAATTGTTAATCTTTTAAAATCATCATTTGAAAAATTTTCAGAATATAATCAAAATGTTCATAATCTCATTCTCTATAACATATAAAAGTTACACGGTAAAAATTTTATAAAAACAAAATTATCCTCGTTATTCGGTAACAAAAATACAAATTTGATAGAAAAATGCTAAAAATATTAAATTATTGAAAATTGAAATAGGTAAAATGTAACCTATCTTGAGACGAGCAAATTTCTTAATTTGGTCAACAGATGAAATAGGTAAAGGTACATCCTCTTGCAAATGTCTAGTGAGAACATCCATGACTAAAGAAAAAAGATATTCTTCTTGTTGATAAGACTAAAGAGGGAGTTGAAGGTAAACTTGAATTATGGAGGTCAACCTTAGAGGACATCTGATGGTCCCGAAACCTCCACTTGTCCTGACAGGTGCTAATTTTTTAAGAAATTTCATTAGTTCTAAAAAATTATGAAAAAACTTAGTGACACTAAAATACTATAATATATTTATGGCGAAGACGATTTGCAATTTGGACTTATAATGACTCCTGAATAAATTCTTGACTATTGTAGGTAAAAATATATTTTTCATTGAGTTATAACAGAGGCAACCAATGGCTTCTAATCAGATTCTCTGGATATTATGATCAACGATCGCCGTGTTAGTAAACTAATATATATGGTACACCTAGGACGATGGAACCATGGGATATTGATCGGGTTTACTTCCACTTCTCCCACAACCGAGACTAAAACATCTAACATTGTTCATCCTTAATCGAGAGTTCTCTCTTACACGCTAAGAGGGGTAATTAACTATGAGTGAGTGCGATCATAGGAAGTAAGGACCCAGATCTAACTAAATCCTGACACCACCCTGGGGGAAAATTTAGTTAACTACAATTTGACTTAAGGGGAATGAAATCATATCTCTGTAAAGCGGGATTCATGCCGATGCATCGTTTTTCTTGAGCCAACACATAGTTTATAATTTTGAAACAATCAATTTAGAATTTTTGTGTTCAAAGATGAAGTTTTCACTTGCTTAGTTTGGATTAATTAAGTATGAGATGGTAAGATTAGAATTCTATGCAAAAGAAAAGAGCTATTTGTTAATTTTGGTTGAAATAATTAGGCTAAAAGGGTTGCTAGCAATAGGGGTGGCAAAACGGGTCAATGAGTTGGGTTTGAGTTTGACCCAAAATTGATCTTATCCGAATCCGATCAACTCAAACTCGATCTGCTAGCAACCCAATTGATTCAAACCTGACCCGATAATCCATTTTGATTAAAAATAATAATAATAATTTTTTAACACTAGATTTTAGATTAATGAATAAAAAATACAATTATACTAACAAATAAAAATATTTAGGAAAAAAGTAATTTAGATGGATCATTTCAGAACAAAATCAGGTTGGTAGGTTAATCTGAACCTGATCCGTTTATTAAACGGGTCAATCCAAACCTAGATTGTTCGGGTCGAGTTGGCGAGTTGGGTCATTTTTTTGACACCCCTAGCTAGCATTTTCTTAAACACTTGAAGAGATTGCTTAGAAATCTCGAAAAGTTCATGAAAACTTCGAACAAGGAGAGGTTAAGTAGTTATGATTCAAATTGAATTTGGTTCAACTTAAATCAAGACAATCTTATGATACGTCTATGGGTAATTAGATATAAAGAGGATTCAAATTGAATTTGGTTCAACTTAAATCAAGACAACCTTATGATTCGTTTATGGGTAATTAGATATAAAGAGGTCCTACAGTTCATGTAGTAAAATGCTTGGAGCTTTGGAAAGCTTTAAAGTACCACTCATGAAAAGAAAGAGAACTCCTAAGAAGATTTCCTTTTTTATTAGAATATTTTGGATTCACTTGAAATAGGAAATGTCACTTGTCTGACTTTGAGAGGGCCTTAAGGTTAATTTTGGTGTGATGTATGACTTTGGAAGCGCAGAGCAAGTAATTTACATATTTAGAAACTTTTCATGTTTGAAAAATATTAAGACAAGTTTAATTGATTTCAATGACTATGGGGTACGAAACATAGACATTTAAGAGTTTTTCAAAGGCTGCATAATAGTTTTATATTTATTGAAATAAATTAAATTTAGTTAAATATTTTTCAATCATCTTAAAGAAATAAAAATCCTAACAAATGTGAGACTTCTATAACTCTAAGTTAATTTTGTCATTACCATAGCAAGGAGATAAAATGCAACTTGTAATGAGTTGGACAAGTGCCTGGCCATTTGATTTAGAAGATCCAGCGGCTATGTACTACATATGGTTTAATATAAGTGGAAGCGCAACTTGTATGGATTAAAGCAAAGTGCGTAGCCATTGGATATAGGTGCGTAGTCATTGAAATCAAATGGTCATGAACAAGTGAACAACCTTAACTTTGATATAGGTGGAAGGATTATCAAACCCAAGTTTGATAACTCGACGCTTTGTGGTCCTCTTAGATTTTTAAATAAGAATCATAGGACTTCTACAGATTAAAGTAAATGACAACAGAGTTGTGGGTTAGACAATGTCAACAAGGGTCATCTATTCTGACCTAGGGCTTGAAGGGATTTTCACATACATTTTTTTATTTTTTATTATTGTTATTTTTTTTAAATTTTTCACATACATAATCATGATGGCTAGTAGATCTAGGTTTCCTAAGTTTCAAGAGTTTTACCTTATTGAAGCTAGTGCTCAGTGGTTGCGTTAGGTAGTCGACAGCCAGCGTAAAACTTGTCGAGGTTTCTTAAGTTTCAAGAGTTTTACCTCATTGAAGCTAGTGTTCAGTGGTCACCGACCGCACTAGCTTCATTAAGATAAAAATGAAAACAACTGAAATACTAGAGGATTGCTTGCCAATGCTTGGATTCTTCTGCCGTCATCTCCACCACCAACTCGCCGGAGTTGATTTCTTGAATTTGGTAGCCTCCAAAATCAGCCAACAAGAAGAAGAATGAACCAGGAAATAAGAGGTTGATAGCAGCAAAAGTGAACAAGGAACAAGATATGTAGGTGTGGTGAGTAGGTGCAACTATAGAGAAGAGAAGAGAAGAGTTAGGTTTTAAATAAACTCCAGCTAACAAATCATTGGTCTCTCCTTCTCTTCCAAAATAGACAACAAAGAGACTCTTCCTGTCTCTTGCGTGCCTCCTACGCGGGTTTAAAGCCAAAAGAGAACCTGAAAAACTCTTCTCCTTTCTCTTTTTCCACACCCGAACTCACTTTGCTTCTGCACTCCCTCTCTCTCTCTCTCTTTTTTGCTTGCTACCAACGAATTAAACAAAGCCGAGGCCCCTCCTTGTGATCCTACCCTCGAATGGCTGTAGAGAACAGTTGAGATATCTCGGTGATGCCCTCAATAACCTGAAGGCATGGATTGTCACAAAATGAGCATGAGATGTGCCGGTCCCTTGGACCCTTAACTATTGGATTTAAATAACATAATTTGGAAGACCAACAGGAATGCTAAAAGGAGCTTTGAATGCCAAAGCAAGCTAAAGAAGTTTAATTTTAGAAGCTTAGTTGGGTTCGATTTAACTCAATTCAACTTGATTCAATTCAATTAAGCTCTTGATGGCTGGGGAATGCCAAAGCAAGCTAAAGAAGTTTAATTTATGTGTGGACTGAACTGGGTAAGGTAAATTGTGATCGAATTTGTTCGATTTGATACAACGTCACTCAATTCAATTCAACTCAATTTGATTCAAATTTTATTTAATTGAGTCCACTCTCAATTAAATAAAATTCGACTCCATTGAGTCAAATTTCAACTCAATTCTACTCATTGAGTTGATTTGATGCAATTTTACTCGATTTGATTCAAATTCATGAAATTAAGGTTAAACCAAACAACTTAAATCGATTAAATTGAATCAAGCTGATTCAAGTTAAAAATTGAGTCAACATCTATGTGCGCTTAAGAATGAATGGTAATCGATGTGGAGAGCTTTCGCTTGAGAGAGAGAGAGAGAGAGAGAGAGAGAGAGGTAAGACATGTGAGAATAACGAGTTTATTCTCACTTTAAATAGTTGAAAATATTATAGTGCAACAATATTAGTAGTTGACTAGGATTTTTTTTTTGGTTAGGTTTGTGCTATGATTTTTTAGACTTAACTTTGTAGGTTCCATTCTTCCTAACATAGATAATCCTCTTTTGGAACTGCAAAACCCATCTCTTTTCCAGAAGTTATGACTGCATGATTTACGAATGCCAAATTTCATTATCGATGGCAATTGTACTCGTGATGGAAAGAGATGCAATGGCCATTGCTTTCATTCTTATATTTTCGATATGCAGATGCATGCAACATCCTTATCTTTTCAGGATATGTTTGAGTGGTGAATAGAGTAGAAGTGACACCATATGCTGTTTAAGGATAATGATAGAGATGATGTGCTGTGCATACTTTTAGGCGTCTACCAGCATTAGTGAAGAGGATTTTGTCTCCTTTGTGAGCAAGTGGAGAGAGGCTGGCGCCTCTCTTATTGGAGGATGCTGCAGGACAACCCCAAAAACTATTAGAGCCATAGCTGAAGCATTGTCCACCGTTCGATCAGCTCCTCAAGCAACTTCAGCATGTGATTGAGAAAATTTGTAAGTGCTAAACGTAAGAATTAAATCATTAATTGAGCTAAATCAATAGCAATATGCCATGTATATTTCATTTGAATGGACGGCTTGGATGGAGAAATTTTTATTGTTAGTATTGTTTCTAGAAATGCTTTGTTATTTTGCAATAAAAAATATGTTACTAGCTGGTTTTACTTGATATTTTGTCCGGCATTGTTTCCAGATTTCCATCTTTAAGATATAAATTTTACCGTGCTGATATTGTGCAACTTAAAATACGTCTAGTATTTATTGATATTGATATTTTGTCCATAAGTATTCACAAATTTACAGCTCATGGTTAAAATATTACTGTTTTATCGTGTAGTTTCAAATTTGTTAGTATTGATCGGTATTATTTGATGTTTCAGAAGGAACTGTTTCCAGATTTGCTTCTGTTAGCTTACTAAGGTAACGTCTTGTCAGATATAATAATATTGGTTTGGTATTTAATAACTGATGTTTTCAATATCTAACAGTCGATAAAAGAGTATTTAACTTTTGAATTTCTTTTTACATATGAGTTTTACTAATTGCCAAATGTTATATTCTAATTGATTGCTTAATAACTTAAGAATTAATGCTCAGCTCACAGAAAAATGTATTCATAAGATGTTTCATTATGTGAGCTAAACTGAGTTTATCTGTATCAGCAAACGCCTGTCTTATGCGTTGCGTATGACTAAAGACTAAAGCTTACGCACTTGAAACAAAATTGGTTGTTGACAACTGGTTGGTCAATGTCATTATATTTAGAACTCCTCTATGCATACTGTTGTAAATGCAACATTTTTCCTGATGCGGACATCCAACCGTCCATCCCAATCCGAGGAGGAGCTGAAGATCGACGACCGAGATCACTTTGTTTTATTTTCATTTATTAAGTGTGTTTTAATTTAGTTTTGCAATTTCCCTTTTTACCCTCTTGTCTTATGTAAGCCCAGGGGGCAAATGTGTCTTTTAATTTCTTTTGAGACCTATATATAGAGGCCCCTTCTCTTGTATTAGAAGGATGGATTATTAATAAAAAAATTTGTGTTTTGCACTTGGGTTCTTTGAGAAGAACGTCAGTGAAATCTCTATGGGAGGGAGTCGGAGTTTCCACCAGCCGCAGGATGGGTCCGAGCTCGTGACGTGAAGTTCCTTGGAGAAGAGAAGCGTAGTACCCGTCAGCCGCAGGATGTGTCCGGGCTCGCGGTTGTATCTTTGATATTTTGTTTCTCTGTTTTTGTTCCTCCTTATTGCTCCTAGTAGTCATTTTCATCTTCTTCCTCCTCCCCATCTTCGTTTGGCCGCCGGATTTTAGCCTCACCTGAAAGAATTTTTATTGCCTCCTCCCACCTGACGCATTTCTACGTTCGGTATGATTTGATAACGTGACACCTGGCAGCCAACTTTACCCGAGACCCGACGCGGCGAAGATTGGGTATATGGCACGTGCGAAATTTAAAACTTACGGCCCGACCAACGGACCCGAATATTATCGCGCGGACCCGAAAAAAACGGCTTTGTTTTCAAACAAACCTTACCGTCTTTCACTTCAGTCATCATTTGCTTGGATATACTTCATCTTCTCCAACCGGCGATTCTTCTAGTTTTTTAAAAAAAATTAAACAAGAAAAATAAAGAAAAAAAGGTGTAATTAAATTATCATGAAAATCATGAATAAGAATATTATAACTAAATATGAAAAAATATATAAATATTTTAGGGCAAGTTAGGTCAAAAGAATTTTTAAGGGGGGCAAAAGTAATTTTTAGGAGGGGCAAAATATTTTTTTTACTCTCCTATATATATATAAAAAAAAAAATTTTTACTCCTACAAAAAAAAATTTTTTTTTTGAGGGGGGGCAATTGCCCCCCCTAAAGCCTACATGGTTCCGCCCCAGGTGTCACATCTATGATTATAAAATAATGCTAATAAGATTTCTGGTTGAAAAGTATTACGAGCTTGAAGGCATACCAAGGGGGGGATTTAATTGGGTGTCATCAATATTATTAAACTTCTCTAAAAAAAATTCAGCTTAAAATCATAACAATAAAACATATAGTGACAAATAAATAATCAATCAATCAATTAAACTAAACACACAAATATATACACAAGTATATATATTTAAGACAGTGATAAGCTATGACCTTGACCAACTCGGTCAAAAAATACGTATATATGAGGATGAGATAACTGTTACGAGCGGACCGGTCCCCACTGGACCGGTCCGGTTTTATGCCAGGCGGGCTGGGCGGAAACAGAAGCAAGGGGCGGAACTCCCTGTGGCCCCCACGCCGGATTAAATCTGATTTGGGAGGGAGAATTTTGAATGAGGGGGCTGTTTTAGGAAATCCATTATTGTTCTTTATGATTATTTGTTTAATTAGGAGTTTGGGGGGAATTGGGGATCATCTTGAATTTGAGTTTTCTCTTTGAGATCTAGGGTTTGCTTTGGCTCTTGGTGTTGCCGGAGATAGTGGAGAGTTTTTCCTTCCTCTCGAATTGAAGGAAAATTGTATCTTGCAAGTGCTTTTTATCTATTCTTGAAATTAAAGCATTTGCTTCTTTTCCCTACGATTTTTCCTTGCGTTTCACTCAGTTTTTTCTGCTGTTGGGCTGAGTTTTCGCTGTGGACAGCAGATTTTCCTTGCTTAAGTACTCAATTTGGGTTAGGTTTACTTGTGAATACAAGCATTACCTATCAAATTGGTATCAGAGCATCGATTTGGGGATTTTTGGCGGCTGAAATCAGATTTTTCAGCGAACTTTTGGGCTTACGGAAGTGTTTTTTTGTGATCCGTTGGGAAGAACGATGGCCGGAAAGAAGGTAGACGTCTTGGAAGGCGAAGTCGGTCAATTGAAAACCGATTTGGAGGCAAGATTTTTTTATTTTCAAAATCAAATCACCATCAACAATGAAAGTTTGGAGGGAAAGTTCACGGCAATGGAAGAAATGATGAATAAATTATTTGAGATGAAGACTAATCCGACGACGTCGGAAGCAAGAGGGACTACCGGAGACCATGGCGTAGGAGGGAATCCGAAACCGCTTAGGGGGAGGAGGAATATGGAAGTAGAGATCCTTGAGGGAGATGACGACATGCCGCCTCTAGAGCCACCTTCTAGAGAGGAGATGAGCATGGGAAACGACCGAAGAGGTGCTGATTTTGGTGGAAGAAGAGAGGAATTTCAGCGTCGATGTGCTGAATTTTAGCGTCGAGGTGCTGAATTTGAAGGGAGGAGAGGGGAATATGACGAAAGTGCAGATTTTGGCTGAAGAAGAGAGGACTTTCAGCATCAAAGTGCTGAATTTCTGCGTCGAGGTGTTGATTTTGAAAGGGAAGAGGGGAATATGACGACGAATTCGAATACCATCGCCGTAGGGATGACCGGGACACTTGGGAGCACCTCCTCTTCGAGGTATGGGGAGTTATGGAGGGTACCGAGGTAATGGAGGAGATCCAAGGGTGAGGAAGCTGAAGATGCCCGTCTTCGAGGGCGAAGACGGCCATGGTTGGATCTATAAGGTGGAGCGATATTTTGTTGTCAATAGGCTGACAGAGGAGGAGAAATTGACAGCGACGGGAATATGCTTGGAGGGAAAAGCCTTAGTATGGTATCAGTGGCGTGACATGAGGGAGCCCATTCGCAGCTAGAGAGAGTTCAAGGATTGTTTATTGGAGCGTTTTCGAGCCGATGATGGAGGAGACTTCTATGAGCAATTCTTTGCTCTGACTCAAGAGGGAACCGTGGCGGACTACCTGGACAAGTTTGAGTATCTGGCTAGCAGGCTGGATCATATCTCGGAGTCAGCCCTGGAAGGGAATTTCATGAAAGGGCTGAAACCAGAGATAAGAACAGCAGTCAGAAATGTTCCCGCTACAGTACAGCCGCTCATACACCAGTTCAGCGAGGTCTTTCAACCGCCCCAGGGTTTACATCCTCAGAGAGAGTTGGAGCATGCCATTACTTTGAAAGAAGGTGAGACTCCGAGCAGTGTCCGTCCTTACCGCTACCCACAGATTCAAAAAGATGAGATTGAAAAGCTGATCCGGGAAATGCTGGAGGCGGAGATTATCAGACCTAGCAAAAGCCCTTTTTTTAGTCCAGTCCTCCTGGTTAAGAAGAAGGATGGGAGTTGGAGATTTTGTGTGGATTACAGGGCTCTGAATAAAGGCACTGTACCAGATAAGTTCCCAATTCCGGCGATTGATGAGCTGCTGGATGAGCTACATGGTGCAGTGATGTTTTTGAAGCTGGATTTGAAATCCGGATACCACCAGATCAGAATGAGGGAGACAGATGTTCCAAAGACAGCGTTCAGGACACATGAAGAGCATTATGAATTTCTGGTAATGCCCTTTGGATTGATTAATGCTTCTGCAACCTTTCAATCCTTGATGAATCGGGTATTCAAGCAGCACCTCAGGAAGTTTGTCCTGGTCTTTTTCGATGACATCCTGGTGTACAGCAGGACTGTGGAAGAGCAATTGGAACATCTGAGGGTGGTATTGGAAGTGCTTCAGGAGCATCAATTGAAAGCCAACTTGAAGAAGTGCAGTTTTGCTCAGGCGAGTGTGGAGTACTTGGGACATGTGGTTTCTCAAGAGGGAGTGGCAGTGGATCAAACTAAAATTGAGGCAATGCAAAAGTGGCCACTGCCTAGGAACCTCAGGGAGTTGAGGGGTTTCCTAGGATTGACTGGATATTACAGGAAGTTTGTGAAGGGATACGGTACCATTGCATGGCCCCTAACTGAGCAGATAAAGAAAGACAATTTTTGCTGGGGAGAGGCAGCCACTCAGGCGTTCGAGAGGTTAAAAGAAGCCATGACAACGGTTCCTGTTCTAGCTCTTCCAGACTTTGGTGTGGTCTTTGTAGTGGAGACGGATACATCGGGATATGGGCTAGGTGCAGTGTTGATGCAGAATCACAGGCCAGTTGCATACTTCAGTCAAGTGCTTTCAGCCAGGGCTAGATTGAAGTCAGTGTATGAAAGAGAGATGATGGCCATTATATTGGCTATTCAAAAGTGGCGGTCATATCTCTTGGGAAGGCACTTTATCAAGCGGACTGATCAGAGGAGCTTGAAGTATTTGCTGGAGCAAAGGATGATGACTGAAGAGCATCAGAGGTGGTTATCCAAACTCCTAGGCTATGACTTTGAGATCCAGTATAGGCCTGGTTTGGAGAACAAGGCAGCCGGCGCTCTATCCAGATGTGTGGGGGAACTCCAGGAACTAGCTCTGTCAGTGCCATTGATGGTTGATTGGGGGGCCATCAAGGAAGAAAGCATGCTAGATGAAGAATTGGGGAAGATCAGGGAGGACCTGCAAAAAGACAAGAGTAGCCATCCGGGCTACTGCATTGAGGGGGAGAGATTATTGTATCAAGGGAGGTTTGTGATGCCACGAACTTC